TGCTGGCCTCCGATGCAAATAGGATGCTGGGCTGAGTGGTACCCTGAGCCCTGTGGGGTCTTTCTCTCTGCTCCAACCCTAACTATGTACCCTGTCCAATTGTCCTACGGTAGGAGCCCCCAATCAACTTGAAAGAAGCTGCACTTAGGTTATATGCCGCCCCCGTGGTGCTCCCATAGCAGGTACAAACACCGAAAGGGTTACATTACACTTGCTTGCAACTGTACAAGCAAAGTCAAGAAAGAGAACTCCTTTTATATGGAGAAGGGAGCGCTCGCTCGCTCGCTCGCTCGCTCTCTCTCTCTCTCTCTCTCTCTCTCTCGTGTGTGTGGAGGGGAGTGTACACTGGCTTTCCTCCTGTTTCAGAGTTTCTCCTTGATCATGTAAAAATGTGAGGGCAAAGAATGGCATTAAAGGGATATGGCTCTGGGGTAAGCAGTTGTATAAACACGCCTGGCTCAGGGACTGACTTCAGTCGCAGCCCCACACCACACACGGTGCCCATGCGGGCCCACTGTTAATTATTGACTGCAGGAAAACAAGCCAGACATTCCATTCCTGCAATGGAGATGTGACCTGACCCAGATTCCACCAAGCACCGAGATCGTGGTTCCTTCCCCAAACTGGCGCCTTCTCAATGTGCTTAAGAATAATGCCCATCCTTCCCAGCCATGTCCGGAGGAATAGCCAGCTATTTCCAAAGTGTCCTTCCTAGCATGGAGGTTTCGGAAACAAGGCCTTGTTGTCCAAAGTGCCATCGAATGAAATGCCTTACTCGCTTGCTGTGGCAAGCCCCTGAAGGTTGGGAGCAGGACCGACATTTCTACGAAGTCAGGCTAGGTTCCACATAGGATACCAGGAGACCAGGGGTGTAGAACCTCATGCTGGGGCCCCGATCCATCCCTTTGAGCTTCCCCGCCATTTTTTGCCCCATCACAGATTATCTGGGGGTTTTCTGGATTTTGTGTGGCTTTTTTGTCCCCCGCTGCAGTATAGCCTCCAAAAACTTCGCCAAAATGGCATTCAGCCCTTGGATTGAAATGCAGTCTGCACACCCTACACTGGGCCAAGGGTGGGAAACCTGTTGTTGTTGCTGACGGTTGTGTTCATTTAGGAGTAATTTTGTGTGGCTGCATGGTGGTGGGGGAGCAGGACAACCACCCACGAAGTGGAGAGACTCACCCGGAGTCTCATTCTCTTTTCCATCCAGGAGACCTTCAGGAAAGGCTAGCCTGCTTTTGTCAGAAGCCTGAACTAAGCAGTCATGGAGGACTTTCCCCTACCTCTACCGCTTCCACCTTCCTTTCCCATTTCCCTCAAATCCACCTTGCCAGAGGTCTGACGGATTTGCCAGCAAAGGACTTCCACTCTCCATCCATTACGCTGTCCGTTGTAGGCTTCCCCCAACATTTATTCCTTTTCTTTTTTCAAGGCTTGTCCCGCCTACATGAAATTAAGCTGAAAGCTGCATGCAGTTTATTTATTTATTTAATTTATTTTCCGATTTATATCCTGCCTTTTTCCTACAAAGGGCTCAAGGCAGCTTACACCTCCTCCTCCATCTTATCCCCACAACAACATCCCTGTGAGGTAGGTTGGGCTGAGAGTCTGTGACTGGCCCAAAGTCACCCAGTTGGCTCCATGGCTGAGCGGGGACTAGAACCCAGATCGCCTGAGTCCCAGTCCCATGCTCTTAACCACTACGCCACACTGGTTCTCCAGTTCTTGGGCTGCTGGTTGCCCACCTCTGCCATGGACAGTCCTGTGGCAGAACATTTTTGCAGGCCAAAGCCCAGGCCTCCACGGACACATGTTGACCCTGTGGGTGATTTTCCTTTTGTAATGAAACGTGATGTTGCAAGACTCTTTTGAACTGGAGAGAAAGCGGAGGGGGCCCTTCCACAGTATCAGAGTTCACTGGCTTACAATTCATGACAACCCTTACAAGAATTCCTAGCTTTACCTATAAGAATAGTGATGCTAATCCCAAGACTAAAAGCTCTTTGTCTTCTATTTTATGGGAGTCATATAACTTCTTTATAATGGAAATCCAGCGGAGAGACAGGTCAGCCCCATGGCTCTTTCTTGCCTGGATGTCTCCACATGGCCAAAGAATTAATTCCCCATTCACCAAAGAACTCCTGGGTGCAACCCAATGTATGTTTAGATAGAAAAAGTCCTATACATCCCATGAAACATTTGTTTTCTGAGGAAGCGTAATGGAGAATGAAAGATTAAAACTACAAAAGCCAAACTCGTAGAATCAGATGGTAAGAAGCGGCCTAGCAGGCCATCAGGTCTAACCGCTGCCTGCTCAATGCAGGTCTCGGGTCCCCCATCCAGATTTCAACCTGGCCTGACTCTGCTTAGCTTCCAAGATTAGACAAGATTGCAAATTTTAGGCAGCTTCTTGATATCAATTTCCAATGACAGGCCTGTAGTTATGGGCTGAATGCTATCTAGACAGCTACACAAAAACTAAAGCTCGCTATCAGAGGTTCTAGCAAAATATTAACAATTTGGCAGCTCTCTCCAGGGTTTCGGGCAGGAGGTTTTCAAGCCTTACTGAAAAATATGCCAGGGGTCAAATCTGGGAACTTCTGCATGCAAAGCGCATGGTGAGCCATCGCAGGGAAGAGGAAAGGTACGTGGCCTTTGCACATCGACTCAGCCTAAGAAACAAGACGATTCCATCCCACTGAGAGGAAGCAGCAATGCCCTGAAATGACTCCCAACGAAAGTGCAAAAGCAGGACTTCAGTGGAACGTTCAGAAAACAAAAACTGTGACCACAGAAGATTTCCACAACTTTGCAGTTAATCTTGAAGAAATTGACGTTGTGGAAGACGTCATGCCTTGCCTTGCCTCGGCCATCAATGCAAAGGGAGATTGCAGCCAAGAAATCCGAAGGAGAATGAGAAGGCCAGCAGTGAAGAAACTAGACAAGTGTGGGGATGTTTCACTGGAGAGGAAGGCCAAGATCACTCACAGTATGGTATTCTTGATCGCTATGCATGGGTGTGAAAGTTGAGGCTTGTGCGAAGGACGAGACAGAAATGTTTTTAATAAAATTAAAATTACATTGAATTAAATTAAAAAAGCAAGCAAGCAGACAGGAGGAAAAGGGATGCGTTGGTAACATGGAGCTGGAGGAGAGCTTCGCAAATGCCCTGGACTGACAGAAAGACAAACTAGTGGGTCATAGATCAAATCAAGCCAGAGCTTTCCCTGGAAGCAAAAATGACCCAAATGTCATTACTCTGGTCACATCATGAGTAGGCAAGGCTCCCTGGAGAACACAATCAAGCTAGGGAAGGCGGAAGGTAAAAAGAAGAAGACCAAATATGAGATGGATTGGCTCTCCAAAAGAAGCCATAGACTTGAATTTGGAAGAGGTGAACAGGGCTGTCATGAGAAGGAAACTTCGTATAATAATAATAATAATAATAATAATAGGGCTGTAATAAGTCATCGACAACTTTATTTATTTATTTATTTTATTAAAACATTTTTATGCCGCCCCATTCGCCCAACTTGATAGCACATAACAAGAAGAAGCATTATGGTTTTGGTCTGGGGAAAATTAGATGGGCTATGGCAGTGGTCAAAACCAATGGGACAATTTTGACATGTATACCAGCCGGCTGCATTCAATTATCCCTTCTGGAACTGCACATGCTTCCAGCAAAGTCACCCTTTGTTGTTACTGATATTTCAGGACTAAGTACCGAGAAGTAAAACCTGCTGAAGAGTTGCTCTGCTCTGTTTCAACTGCCTAATCATGGATAGCGGTTATCAACCAACCCTGCAAGGTGGGGAAAGGTGACACTGCAGAACATCAAGAATCCCCAGTTAATATCCTGGCTTATGGTAAGCCAGCAGCTAAAGCATTTGTGGTTATGGGTCCCTGACAGCCCTGCTTGTCCACTGTAAATTCACAACTGTGATTTCCTGTATGAATATTCAGCCCATCTCATATTTGGCCTTCATTTTCTTCTGCCTTTGACTTTCCCCAGCATGATTGTCTTTTCTGGGGAGCCTTATCTTCTTATGATGGGCCCAAAATATGATTCAAACTGTTACCTAATCAGCAGTATATTACCAGTGGACAAGCCTTCCCATTACTATTGTTAGTCAATTAATGAAATGCAGTGGCCCAATAGCAGAATATTGTAATATAGGTGCTGCCTTAGAAGCAAAGGAGTTAACGAACCATATGCTGCTCCAGTTAAAATTCCTAAAGCTCCTGCATATTAGAATTTTCATCCTTGCCTCCAGTTTCTCATAGACTGGCTTTTTGTCCTCAAGGAGAAGTCATTAAGCATGTTCAGTTGAATCCTTTACCTTGTGAGCCAAGAAAGGATGAAAAAGTGCCTTTAACAGGAACCATATGATCTATGTCTCTTACTGTATTTTGATAGCTGTTAAGGCCAACAAGGGGATCAGCAAGCATTCAAGTTCATCACAGCCCATCATCAAGCTGAAGGTTAAACAAAATATATGATTGATACATTAAAAAGGACAGAGGGGGAGAATGATATTGAGGTTTCACTTGTCATCTGAAGCACATGCATCCCGGAGGAGTGGAGCATGGGGTATCCAGCCAAAGGAAGTGTTTCATTCATTTATTCTCTGCCTTTCAGGGCAAAATCTTTCCAAGGCATTTCAGGATATTAGTAAGGCGAGCCAATGGCAAAGAGGAGGTAACAAGCCAATTCTATGCATGCCCACTCAAAAGTTTTGTCTTCTGTAATACAACATATTCCCAGGTCATTGGACACAAGATTGCAGCCCCAAAGGATCTTATGATTCAAAAACTATTTCGACCATTTTTAAGCCATATCCAAGAATGACTATTCCTCGAATGTTCTTTTTTGGATTTCCCTCTCTCTTTTTCTAACGGATCAATACAGCTACCTGCCCAGCTGGACGAGGTCGTACAGTTTTGCCACGGCCAAATGACCAGCGCAGTCCATTTATTTATTTATTTTTAACGCTTACCTGCTCTAAACCAGACACGACTGTTCCAGTCCTCACGTTCTGCACGGCTTCCAGGCGCGCAAAGCCATCCTAAGGCGTGCATTAATCTCGGAAACAAGCTCCCACAAGCTTCAACCGAGCTGCCTTCCTAAGTGAAGTGTCTGTAGGATTGCAACCTGAACGAGCTCCCTCGGCAGTTCGCGCACGGGAGCGGGATCCCGCAGGAGATAAGCCTGCTCTGCAGCGCGCTCCTTTGCTATCCGACTGGACGCAGCCCATCCCGAGCGGTGCCTCCTCCTCCTCCTCCCCCCGCCCCCCAAACTTTGCCTATCGCGGATGCTGCCGACGCGGCTGAGCAGCTGTTCGCAGGGCTCCTGCCCGCTTTGTTTGATTGGGGACAGCCAAACGCTGCAAAGGATGCCGGGGAAGAGGATTTGTGGACTCTCGGGAGGGAGGAGTCCAGATGTGTGTCCAGATGCGTGTCCCTTCCAGGGGAGGGGGGTGTGTCCAGTGGAGCGGCTGTGTAACCCCCGCAGTGCCAGAGGCTTACCTTGGAGTGTGACCTTGGCTGGAACTGGATGAGGCCAGGGCAGGCGCGGCTGGGACTGAAGCTGCAGCTGCTTGACGGGGGAAAGGTTAGGATTCCTATACTAGGCGCACAACAGCGAGCAATGCCAAAGAGGAGTGCGATAATTTCGGATATTGAGCCAGGGAGGCCGGACTGAACTCAGGGGTGCCATTGAGGCAGGATTTGGGGGTGCAAGTCCAGGCCCCCATGTAGCAAGGGGACCCCAAATGCCACAGAACTAGCATAAGTGAAATGAGTGAGGGGGCACATAAGACCATGTGCTCACAGGGTGACTATAAGGTATCTTTCAATCTCACTTCCCTCTCGGGACAGTTGTTTTATTGCATTGGCAAGCAATGCCTTCATAAAATTGTACAGAACTTTTGGATTTGCATTTCCTAATCTGGCTCCCTAAATATTATTATTACCAGCAAGTCCCACCTTCCATCCTTTTGCAAAAAACCTAAGGCGGCTTGCAAAGTTTTTTTTCTCTTTATTTTATTCATGCAACAACAACCCTGTGAGGTAGGTTAGGCTGGAAGTCAGTGATTGGTCCCAAGTCACCCAGTGAGTTTCATGGCTAAGTGGGAACCCAGATCTTCCTGAACCCAGTCCAGCATTACGGTCAGAACCATTAGAAGTATACGGGCTCTCTCAGAGATCTTAAGTACATCTCAGAGTTTCCGAGTTTTAACAGCAAACAAACAAAAAAAGAGAAAGCCCCGCTCTGCCCCTTTAAAAGGAAACCATAACCACGGAGATGGAGGAGCCAGTGGCTAGACGCGCCCCTCCGCCGCCTGGCATGTCGTGACGCAATCCGCGTGCGCGAGCGGCAACTAGTGACTTTGCCGCTCTCTGGGGAAACGGTACCGTACGTCAGAGCGAGCGCGACGGGCGAGCGGCGGTCGGGTTCTGAGGATGTAAGTAGCGGGAAAAGGGCGGTAATCCGCCGCCATCCGGCCCTGGCCGGGTCGCGGGGAGCCATGGGCGCGCCTGAGGGCGTCGAGAGAAGGTTCCTGGAGCCGCTGAGGGGCTTCTGCGGAGGTCCGCCCCCGCGGTGGAGCGTGAGCCTGGCCCGGGATGGGGACGGCCTTGACCGGGTTTGGGGGTGGGGGACGGGTGGAGTATGATTGACGCGTTGCTTGGGTTCGCTCCGCCCCTTTCCGCTCCCGTCTGCCTTTGAGTTGGGGGCTGAAAGTTCATAGAGGGCAGAGGACGCCGCCGTATATCAAGGCGGACCCTTAGTCCATTCAAACTAGTTCTGTCGACATTGACTGGCAACGGTGCCCTCCAAGCATGTGCTCCTCCTCCAAGTTACGGCCGCCACTTACTTAATCACAGTTATACGCAGCCATTTTTCCTCTTGCAAAGAATTCCAGGCAGCTTACATGGGCCTCCTCTCCATTCTAACCTCACATCAGCCTTGTGGAGTAGGCTCAGGGCCTGACCTGGTGAGGGTGATGAGTCACGGTGAGCACTCTGACCACTGGGCCACACTCGCCATCTTACCATGGCAGCTTGGATGTGAAGAGGGGGTTTGCTTCTCCCCTCACTCCTCTTTGTGTTTTCCCTTAGTTCTTGGTGTCACTGTGGAGATGATTTGAAGCATTTCTTAGTTGTGCTCTCCGATCCTTTATGTAATATAGTTTATCTTATGAAATATGGGTTGTTAGTGGCTTTATAAAATAAATATATATTTTATTCCACCTTTCTCCCAGAAACAAAGGGTGGAGTTTATAGTTTTGCTCTCACTTATCTTTCATCCTCTGAACAACCCTGTGAGGTAGACTAGGTGGAGAATTAGCGGCTAGCCCAAAGCCGTTCAGTGAGCTTTATGGCTGAGCTGGATTTTGACCCTGTGACTCCATTGTCCTTGATAGATACTAACCACTGCACCAAACTGGTTCATTATATGCAAGAATGCTTGGTTTCAAGGGTGGGGTTTCTTAATTGGATTCTCAGATCTGTTTTATATTACATGCTTATGCTGTTTCTGCTACTTGTACAGTTTTTACTAATACAAGTTAGGGGCTGTGTAGCACACAGAAAGAGTTCTCTGTTTAGGATATTATACTCCAGGATCATACAAAGAGCCCTGCTGGATCTGATCAAGGCACCATTTAGGTACAGTATCCTCACTCTAGCAGTGGCCAATCAAGTAGCTCATGAAATCCATCAGCTGTGATCCAGAACAGGGCTAGGAAACTTCAGATAGGTTGGGGTGCTGCATTGCCTCCTTCAGAAGCTGCTGCTCATTGCTGGTGCCAGTAATCTCACATCCTCTTCCTCTGCAGAATCCGGCATTCCCTCGCCTTCCAAATAATGGTGGGGAGCATGATTCTGTTGGGAATCTGGAAGTGAGGTGGTAATAGGAAACCTAGTGGGCGTCTCAAAACCCTATGGAAGGTTTGTATGGGCTGCATGTTGTCCACCTTTTGTGATGGTATTTGCTTTTCAAAGAGTTACTGTCTGATTCTCTGTCCTGGCCATGGGTCAACACAAGTTACAGATTCCTCCATGAAGTTGTTTAATTTCCTTTGAAAGTCATTAAGGGCACAATCCTGTGTAGGTTTAGGCAGTGGAAAAGCCTACGACACCTGGCATTTCCCAAAGGGAAAAAAATATTTCTTATTCTATATAGGATTGTGCCCGAAAGATGCAAAGTTATGTATGATTAGACATAAAAATAGGTCTAAAACTCCCAACATTCATTTTATCATATGCCTAGCAGGGAAATATATATTGGCCCACATGGAATCAGATGTACAGGTAGCCGTCCTTCCAGGGATGTGATCACACTGGTGAAAATCAACTTACAAAGGCCAGTTGCCCTGATAGCTTCTAAGTAATATTGAAAAGCATGCACAAGTTTGTTTTTTATTCTGTTTGTTTCAAACAGTTGCTTTGTTGTGTTTTTAAAAGCCTGGGATGTGACTGTTACTACTTCTTAACCTGTGGCCATGTTTTCACAAATAGTTATTGAATAGCTTCCACACTTTTGGACTGCTAAGTGGGATAATAAGCTTACAGGGATATGAATCTAAATGATACCTTAACTCCTACATTGTTTGTTGTGGAAATTGTTGGAGCAAGTCTGGCCATTTCCACATCCTGAGCTGTTCTGGTTCACTACAGAATACAAAGCTTCATTCAGAACATGTGTTGAAAGGCAATCTGGGATCTCCTAATCTGGTAGAACTGCATTACACATGTCTGTTTTTAAAATGTGTGTGACACCAAAGTAAGAGATGTGTTCCTGAATTGCCAGTACAAAATTACCTAACATTATTTATGTTAACTTGGGCAGAGCATCACGTTGGGAAAAAGTAAGCTTATGGGAATAGACTGTTGCTATAATAGTAAAACAGTGTTGCATTTTATTTCTTTTAAACTGTTTAGACAATTGCAATGTTAAGTTAGAAACAACTGTAGAAGAATGATATGTGGTGCAGCTTGCTTATGAACTGTCATGCCCAATATTGTTACACATTTGAAGAAAAACCATCTTTGTTTCCACAGTTCACACAATAAAGCAAAGAGATATCTGAACTTGCATCTGTCATCACAACCCAGGTTGCGCTTCACAGAGTAAACGGCCTATTGCTTCAAAGAAACAAAATATTAGTCTTAGCATACATGTCAAAAGAGCCCCAGTGCCTTTTGAGTTACATGGTCCTAACAGTGGACAGAGCCTTGAAGTACAAGGATTGTGACCTTGGCCTTCCAAAGGTTTCCTCCATTTTCCAGAGGTTGCCCTGAATTTGGATTCCTGGGGTGATGCTTGTGTACAATTAGAAATATGCACGAACCTATCAGTAACCTATATGCTTCTGTTTGTGTATATGTGTGTTAAAGTAATCATTTTTAAAGTATGTCACCCTAACTCTATACTGAAGGACAGAACTGAAATCTTGAAAATAAAGTCATAGCTACTCTCAAATTTTGGAGAAACCTTTTATCACATGAATTAACCAGTTCAGTGCAGCAACTGGAGGGTCATTTATACCCTGCGGACAGGGTTTGGGCTTCGTTTCTCTGTGCATTCCACAGGCATCATATGAAATTAATAGCCTTGGAATAAACCTGGTGCTTTGGCTAGAATTGGTATTCAATGAACTATAGAACTCTGCTGAACCAAGAGAAATTGGTATATTAGAGAAACTGCATTAAGAATTTTAAAACGCAGCTGTGGAAAGAAAACATTGAAGATTTATTATATGGGGAAACAATTTTGTTTATTCTTTTCCCTCTCCCTTTATTAAACAAATGGTACACATTTTTAAAAGAAGCAGTCTCACTGTTGGATGCCAGGTGTCTGAATCTTCGGTTGGAAATCCTGGTCTGCTTTACTACTTTGATTGCAACCTTTTTCCTCCTTGTGAAAGGTGGTAAGAATTGCAAATGTTCCCTTAGCACACAGTGTGTAGATCAGGGGTCTCAAACTCAACTTACCTGGGGGCTGCTGGAAGTAGAGTCTGGGTGAGGCTGGGCCGCATCAAGTATTCCACCACCGCAGTGGTGGTGGGCCGCTCATCTGGAGGCCGGCCCGGGCGCCCCCGGCGCTTTGAAGGCCGCAGGGCCCCTCCCCCGTGCCCCACCCGGCCCAGCAATTGGCCCACGGGCCACGAGTTTGAGACCCCTGGTGTAGATTGTCCAGCAGGTACAATTTTCAGCCGGGAACTGCTTGTAATGGCTGCGCAGTGATGCGCTAACGACAACGCTTTGCATGTGTGTGCCTTTTCTTTTCTTGTGAAGCAGATTTCTTTCTTCTGCCTATATGTTAATTGTCTCTCAACCCTTTTATCTTGTCACTAGGCTGCTCTTTGGAGTTTATTGCACTCACTTAGGGATCGTTTCTCAGAATCAAGGAGTTAGAAGTAAACTTTCAGATAAGTGAGGCCCCCACTGTGCTGCTTTTGGACTCGGAAGGGGAAAATGGAGCTGTCAGGAATGAAAAAGAAGAGTTTGCTAGGCATCAAAGAAAATAATAAAAAGTCCAGCACTAGGTAATCATTGTCTGAATGTTCGAGGCCTAACCCCCCTTGGGGATCTGTGTAGCCTGCTAGGGCTTTCCCAGGGAGCATGAGGAACTAGGCATGCATCTTTCCCCCCTTGCATAACTGCTGTCTCTGTCACTCCACTGGCTTTCCTTCATGAAGCTGCTCCATAGTGTAAATGCTGGGAATTTGTGCATAGCATCCTGACCTTGTCACACTGTTTTTTTCTTGCTTTGTCTGTTACTGAAAATGGGACATTCAGTATCCAAACCTCTGTTCGTTAAAGGGCTCCCTCTCCTACCAAGCGCAAGGATCGGACTGAAGAAAAATCCAAGGATCGATCCAAGGACAAGCCCACCACAAAGGAGTCGAGCGAAAAGGACCGTGGGCGTGATAAAACTCGCAAAAGGCGCAGTGCCTCCAGTGGCAGCAGTAGCACTAGGTAAACTTAGCAACTCGTCCGGAGCTCCAGGGTTGGTTAAAGGATGGGAAGAGGGTTGGGTCCTCCAAGGACTGTTGGCTAAGTTAAAAATTGAGGTTTCATTCTCAGTGACATCATACTTTTACATCTCAGATGCTGGAAGTGCAATAGCTGAGTTGTTGGGGAGGTGGCTATATCTGCCGTGCTCTGTCCTGTAAGATTCCCGGGACTGCAGGGCTGTGGAAGAGTGTCAGAAAGATGCACCTTGATACGATCCAGCATGTTGGTTATTATGTAAAGAGGTTGATGGCAGCAATAATGCAACCACCATTTGGTTCCAGACCCGTTTTCTAGACTGAGGTCTTGGGAGTTGCAACAGACAGCTCACAAATGATCCACTCGGCACTTACTGAAAGAACTTCCTCTCTGAACTCAGGTAGTGGAGGTGACTGGTTACGGGTTAGAGTGTACGTTGTTCTCAATTTTCACGAGCTCTCTGGTTATCAGGTGAAAATTACTGTATTAAAATAGTTTTACCATAATGGTAATGTTTATTAATTGACCGGTGCTTGATTGCTTTGTGCTCCTTTGGTGGAAAAGAGGCAAATCCTTATTTCAAATAATTAAACGGCTGTTCCTATCTGGACTGCATGACCGGTTTGGCCCTCATCTGTCAGGTCTCGGTCCAGCTCCACATCCAGCTCTGGTTCAAGCTCCAGCACAGGCTCCAGCAGTGGCTCCAGTTCCTCCTCCGCATCAAGTCGTTCTGGAAGCTCTAGCACTTCTCGCAGCTCCAGCTCCAGCAGCTCCTCAGGTTCTCCAAGCCCTTCCCGACGCAGGCATGACAACAGGAGGCGTTCCCGTTCAAAGTGAGTTTGGGTTCCCTGCAGGAATGAGATCTGTGAAGTGTTACCAATATTTGCCGTGAATGATAGGACCGTTTGCACATACCTCCGTGACTTTAACTTTCTGAGGAGTCCATTGGTGGAATTATTGGAGATTTTATGGTTTGGCTCCTTTATCGCCACTACCCTTGCTGAACTCTTTCTGTAAGTCACTCCAAGGAGAAGTAGTAAGGTGTTTCCTTCACAGAAAGCTACCTTGTATGTCCAGTCAGACATCATCTTTTATCTGTGAAAACTGCCAACAGCTCCCTAGGCTTTTCCAGCCCCACCTGGAAGTGTCAAGGCTTCAGCTTGAGACTTTCAGCACATGTTCTGCTACTGACTCACAGTCTTTTCCCCAAGTCCTCTTTGTCTGAGCAGAAATAATATTTGGAGAAATCTGTGCTATTTATAAAAAGTCTGATAATACCCAGACATCAGAATAATTTACTGAAAACTTCTTTGTTCTCTAATGTGCATAGGGCAGGTAATATTACTGTAGTTTTCTAGATATCTAATAGATTTTACTTGAGCATACCACTCAGAATGATCGTAGAATAGAAGAGTTCGAAGGGGCCAGGAAGGCCATTGAGTCGAGCCCCCTGCTGTTGCAGGACACCATATTATATCATACCGTTCAGATGGCTGTCCAGTTTCTTCTTGAATGTCTCCAGTGTGGGAGAGCCCACCACCTCTTTAGGCAGCTGGTTTCACTGTTGTATTGCTCTGACAGTGAGGAAGCTTTTCCTGATGTGCAGCCTGAATCTGGGTTGCTGCAGCTTGAATTGATTATTCCATGTCCTACATTCTGGCATTAGCAAGAAGAGATCTTGACCTTCCTCTTTGTGTCAGCCTTTAAAGTATGTATGTATGTATTTGGAATATTTCTAACCCGTCCGATCACTGTGCATCTCTGGACAACTTACAAAATAAGTACTTATAGAGAGAGATCATGTCTTCTCAAGGCTGAACATGCCCAGTTCCCTCAGTCTCTCCTCAGAGGGCAGAGTTTCCAAACCCTGGATCATTTTTGTTGCCCTCCACTGGACCCTTTCTAATTTACCTGCATCTTTCTTAAATCTTGGTGCCCAGAACTGAACATGGTATTCCAGGTTTGGTCTGACTAGTGAGGAGTATAGAGGAACTACTACTTCTCATGATTTGGAAGTAATACTTCTGTCAATGCATCCCAAAATAGCATTTGCCCATTTTGGTGGCTGCATCACATTGTTGGCTCATCTTTAGCCTATTGTCCACAATTACTCCAAGATCTTTTTCTTTTTCAGCCACGTATTCCCTGTCTTGTATCGATGCATTTGGTTCCTTTTTCCTATGTGGAGCACTTTGCACTTGTCCTTATTAAATCTCATTCTGTTGCTTTGAGCCCAGTGTTCAAGTTTATCAAGATCACCCTGGATCTCCATTCTGTCTTCTGGAGTGTTTGCTGTTCCACCCAGTTTTGTATCATCTGAAAATCTGATTATCTTTCCTTGTACTTCCTCATCTAAATCATTAATAAAGATGATGAAGAGCACTGGGCCCAGGACTGAACCCTGAGGCACCCCACTAGTTACCTCCATCCAGTTTGAGAACATGCCATTGATGAGCACTCTTTGTGTCCGATGAAGCAGCCCGTTTTGGATCCACCTAATAGTTTTTCCAATTAGTCCAGTTTTTGCTAATTTGCTTATCAGAATGTTGTGTGACACTACGTCCAAAGCTTTGCTAAAGTCTAGGTAGATTATATCCACAGTCTTCCCTTTGTCCATTTGGGAGGTTACCCCAAATGGTCGATGATGGTTTCTGAAGTACTCTGCAACATGGTGGAAGGAATTTTAGTTTAGAAAGACGAACTTGAGTTCTGAAGCAGATTTGAACATAAGGTAGGCAACTTGATCTATTCATATCCTTCTGTGAGACCTTTTCCTTACTTTTCTGATCTGAAATGAGGTATGTTCATTAACAAGGTCAGTTTAGGGGGAGATGCTGCTGGTATGAGTGGATATCAAACAACAAAGACAAGACACTTTACGATGGAATTGAAAATCGCCAAGCTTGGGGAAAGTGGGCTTGTGTTCTCCATTCCTCAAATTGTCAGTATAGATTATGATGCCAGACTCTCTGAATACAGGGCTCTGGTCCAGAGTTGCCCAACAGACATACTAAGTGGTGAAACTTTCTAGCATGTTATAAACCAGATTCCCAGACTGAGAGGCTAGCTCAGATATGTCAGTGGGTGATTAATTTGCTCCATGTGCTCTCAGGGTTTTCCTTAAAGCAAAATAATGTCCAGACATGATGTGGGTTCTGTGTTCAGCGATTCTTAAAGTTGTAATGACTAGTATAGAATATTAAATAATCAGGATCCCTGTCATTTTATGAAAATGACATAATTATTTTTGTTGCAGATTAATAGCCATGTTCAACTCTTCCCACTAGGTCTAAGCCACCCAAGCGAGAAGAAAAGGAACGGAAGAGGAGGAGTCCATCCCCCAAGCCCACCAAAGTGCATGTTGGGAGATTAACCAGAAATGTGACCAAGGTAATAACTTGTCATGCAGGTCCTCTCAGAAAGAAGCCAAAAAGATCTTGGGAGTTGGGAATTTCATTACATATTTAATACAAATGTTGGATATCTATGCTCAAATCATTTGTAAAAGAAATAAGAGCTTGCTGTACTCATCGTAGATGCTGGTGTAATCCATTGCTTGTTCAGATGGAGAAAAGCCTTACAGGTCTCTGCATTTTCCTAGCCTGCTGTGCTGCCAGGGAAATGCTCAGTGGAGTACAATCCCAGGGAAAACAGGAAGCTGCCTGGTCAGTCAAGTTCACATATTCCACTATTACGTACTTGTACCGTCAGTGATTCTCCAGGCCCTTGAGCAGAGCTCTTTCATTGATCCTACGACCTGACTATTCTAATGGGACAATCACAGTATTGAACCTGGGAAATTCTGCACTGAAACTCAAAGTACTGGTCTATACCAATACTTGTATTTCTGTACTTATTTTCCTATAACCAGCTAGCACATCTGAATAAAGTTTGGAAAATCTAGGAAGAAAAACTGGCGAAAGCATCTGCCTGTGAATCCATCTGATCCAAATCCTGCTAAAGGGGTGCATCTTGTATAATTGCTTTCACACCGTTCCGCACTCCAGTGTCAAGACGGACGGAAATAGAAATTGCCATCCTAATTGAGGGGGATTCTTTTTCTGCAGGATCACATCATGGAAATATTTTCCACATACGGAAAGATCAAAATGATTGATATGCCAGTCGACAGGCTCAACCCACACCTCTCCAAAGGTTATGCATATGTAGAATTTGAGAATCCAGATGATGCTGAGAAGGCCCTAAAGCACATGGACGGAGGTATGCGCCAGACACTGGATGGGCCCGAATGCTGTGCCACGTGAGGACGCGTGCTGTATTGTGAAGGCTGTTACCTGACCCGACGATGGGGATTCTTCTGCCCTTCAGACTCTGTATTTGTATCAAGTGTGTGACTGCTTGCTTTCTGAAGCAAGAATCTGTGTTCATTTATGAAAAATGAAACAGAAAATGAAAAATTACAGCCTACTCCAAGCAAAGTTGGCTATAAGGAACCATCTGTATGTCTGGAGAGTGCAGTGCTAAACTTAGCCTCTGTGTTTAGCTGCTCGCTCAGATTCAGATGGCCCACTGTTTTCAGCATTTGCACTTGAGAATCCAGTCTGGTTGTGTTGCACATGTCCCACCCGTGAATGTTCTTTGCTGGCATAGCCTTCTCCCAACCTGACACCTTCCAGAAGTGTTTGACTGCAGTCCCAGCACATGTGGAAATGCCAGACTAGGAAAGGCAGAACTGCAAAATTGTTTTAAAATGATTTGAGAATTTGGCATGGCCTGTATCACTTTTTTTTAACTCAGCCAGACTGACTTCTTTTTCCTAGTTGGTGCTCTTCTCACTTTAGCTGAACAATCCAACTATTTTAGATCTCCAGTCTCTGGTGTGTTGCCACCCTCTGAATCTCAGAAAAACACTACACTGAGTGGGCTTTCCGGTATCCAGATAAGTAGCTGACACTGTATCTAGAAATATTGTCGATCCGGAAATACATTGAGTTCATACCCTGTGTCTGTGATCTTCAACAGGGCAGATCGATGGTCAGGAGATCACGGCCACCGCTGTCTTGGCTCCCCGGCCTAGGCTGCTTCCCAGGCGCTTTACCCCTCCTAGGAGGATGCTGCCACCTCCACCCATGTGGCGCCGTTCACCACCTCGCATGAGGAGAAGGTAGGCTGCCTGAGCAGGGCTGCAGAGGAGGGCTGGAACCATTCACTTTTTGTCTTAGGCCTTCTATGGTATGTCCCTGTGCCTCTCACCCTCAAAATCGGCTCTTTGCGAAAATGCTTTGAGGTGCTTCCGGGAGCACCTCATTGAGCAACAATTCTTGAACAAAACATCAGTCACAAAAAGCAGATTCCTGCAATCATCTTGCCCTTATTTGCTTTTTCCAAACTTTAAAATGGGCGGATTGAATGCGCACTCTCGTGTGTATGGACGCTCTCTCTCTATTGGACTTTCTCCCCCCCCCCCCGCCCCTCCAACCAAATAGTGTCTTCGGAACAAACTTAGGTTGACCTATTTCTCCGTCATGCTATCCCAGCTACCTTCTTTGGGGAAACATGTCCTTTTTTAGGAACCTGGTAAAATGCATTCAGAGGTAGATAACCAGGGCAAAGAAGGTCCCCAGCCTCCCCAGAAGTGTCCGTCCCTGCTCCAAAATTTCCATTTGCTTATGTATAACTGTTTTTTGAGCACTTTGTTCATTAACACTTCGTGACTTACATTGTGCATTGGGAGTTAAAAGCCTGCTCCTTTGTTAATTTCTCGAGCAGTGCTTTTGATCTTAAAGTTCTGCAGTGCAGTTCTCTAGCTCTGTGTTAAACATATTTGTGATCACGGGAATGGTGGCCTGCTCTCAGACTGCAGTAGGTGTGGGGACTGGAGAAAGATATTTGATTGTGCTCATGTAGTTAAGGTACTTGCACATTTGAAAAGTGTTGTGGCTGTTGGAGTTTTGGCAGGTAAGAGTTGAACATCTCAAAACAAAAAAGTCTGTCAATTTCATTTGAGCCACCCCAAGAAAATTGCAGCAAGTTTCTTGCTGTGTCCTGCACGGCAACTGGTGGTGGTCCAAGTCAGGACCGCCAAAGGTTGTTAGAGGGTTGGAACCAGAGTTTGCTGCCTAGTCATTTTAGGATACACGTGTGTCCACACGCATGCCTACACAACTACATGAATGATGCTAGCCAGGACCTTGAAAAAAAATTTAAGGTAATTGGGCTGATGTGTTTACTTGGGAAGAACAGCTACAGGGCCTGTCTGGAGGCACCTCCCTGATCTTTCCCAAAAGCAGAAACACTCCAGGGGACATTCTGTTTTTAGCAATACATTTGTGTTGCTTCTTTCTGAATACTTGTATGCTTCACACAGGTGTTTGTGTATGTGTGTACACCATATGGCTGTAGCCATGGAGTTGTCTAATGGAAATGGCTCTTATTTATTTAAAATAAATAAAAATGCTCTAGAATATGAAATCTACTTTTGGCAAAGTAGGATATTAAAAATGATGGGTGCGCGTCTTACGAAGCTCTGCTCTTCCTCTTAACCCTTTGCTCACAGGTCCAGGTCTCCCAGGCGCAGATCCCCAGTTCGCAGGCGATCGAGATCAAGATCACCGGGCCGGAGACGACACCGTAGCCGCTCCAGTTCCAATTCTTCCCGATAAAATGCAGGACTTGGCAGCTTCTTGGATTTTTTTTTAACTTAAAGTGCATCCAGTCAAAAATTGTACCTTTTTTTAAAAAAATAAAGGAATGTGAATAGAGCAAAGGATAAGCCGAAAACTAGCTAAGCATCTTGGCCCCAATGGGGTGGGGGGTGAACTTCTTTGCATTGGATTTAAGTGCTTTTTAATTGTATCTTTGTTTTTGAGGTTCCTGATGAGATTATACTTTAGAAATTAGCACTGGCATCATGAGTCCTGTGAGCTCTGTTACTGTCAGGATACACCAAAAATAGAGAATGTTCCTTCATTTTCTACACTTCCCCAGCAAATTTAGCTACAAGGTATTTGTTTCATTCCCCCCCCCCCCCGCTTTCCTTGCATATGGAGATGTTGGGTATTACATCCTTTGGTATTTCATTCTTCTGCCAGGACACACAAAATGTTAGGCATCCCATATTGCCTGAGATTGTTCTCTGAAACAAACCCAAGAACTTGGAAAGAACCCTAGTGCTCTTGTGACTCCTTCCTTTGCCAACATGGCTTTGTACATGGTTCACTCAGTCTTTTCGTCCTGGGACTGATATAAATGTGTTTGCTTTATAGAAGATGGGAAACACATTGGCAGAGATTTCCCTCACACTGTCTAGGGTTAATTTTGAGACCAATTCAGGTAACCAAGGTTCAGTTTGCAAAAGGCAAGCATTTTGAGGCCTACTGTACAGTTGTTACTATAAAGTTTGATTTTTGTATGACTTTGTAGCATCTTGTAGTCATGTTGTGTTTGTACTTGTGTAGAGTAACAAGACCGAATAAACCAATATGGTCACAAGTAAATGCGCATTGAGGCTTTGTCACTGAAAAGTTTGATGACTGTTTAAAATTTTACCAGTTATGTCTGAACAGTTGGTTGAGTTGCTGAACAGAGCCAAGGGTATAGCATTTGCTGTTCAGATAATTAATACATTCCTACATGTTAAGAGCTTGTTCTGTCTTCATCAGGGATGCTTTGGTATCTGTTTGTATATATCTGAAATGGAGTAAGGAACTGCTGTAGCCATGTCGCTAGAAAGGATTGTTTCACTGTTTGGGCAATAAATTCTTGAACTGTAAACGTGACATTAATCAACAGGTGCAGGTCCATTTATATGTGTTTGCCTGATTTTGCTGTGTGGGTAGACCAAGACTAAATGTGTGAACTTGCTATTGGAAAGTGTGGTGGGTCATGTGTTGGAGTGGGAACACGGGCAATCTGAATTCTAGTCCTCACTTGGTCATGAAGCTCACTCTGACTTTGAGCAAGTCACAGACTCAGGTCAACCCATCTCACAAGGTTCTTGTGAGGTTAAAATGGAGCAGTGTAAGTCACTTTGGGATCCTCACAAAAGAGAGATAAATGTGGGGTATTAATGCAGAATGACGAAGATGGTGGTGAAGCTATGAAAGTACCGTTGGCATGATTCAGTCATATGAGTGGTTCACACTGCAGTCATCGAAGCTTGAACATGCATGTATGACAGACCACTGTGAAATAAGACAAGGTTTCCACTGCTGTTGTGTAAGAACCATTTGGATGATTAATCCCTTAAGCTACAATCCTAGGCAGGTTTAGAGAGAAGCAGCCTGCTCTTGTGGAATCGTAAGACTCGCCCCACCTGAACCTGTGTAGAATCATGTGCTTAAGACTCTTCTATTTATTTTTTTAGTAAAATGCTGCCTGGAATTACTCAGACAACTTTTAATACTAAAGATTAATGTTCGTTGAACTATGAATGACAAGTAGCAGAGCTTTCCCTTTCTCCTCTGTGAGTGTAGGCATGCGCACATGTACGCATTCCCAGAACACTTCTAAAATTGCCTGCTGCAATGTATTCATACAGAATTTAAAATGTAGTATGCCCTTCAATATTATTTAATTCACATGTAGATTAACAGCCATCCAAGACCATTTCTTAAGTGTACGGGAGTGACATTTTTAATATAGTCAAATGTGAGGTGCAGTCTGCCCCCAAGTCACAATATTCGATTCTCCATGCTTATTTCACATGTTGCAGTCTTCAGAGAGGTCGAGTGGTGTAGTGGTTGCAGTGTTGAAGTAGGATTCTGGAGTTCTGAGTTTTGATTTACTTTCAGGCCTTAATCACCGAGTGATCTTGGGCCAGTCACTAACCCAACAGGGTCGAGTGTGGAGAGGGCAGAGGAACCATCTATCTGCCAGAAGTGGGAAACCTCTGTGGTCTGCCAGATAATGTACTACCCTGTTTCCCTGAAAATAAGACGTACCCCCAAAATAAGCCCCAGTTAAGATCGTCAGCCAGATGGACACATTTAGTATGTCTATTGCAACACAATTCGGGGTTTGGAGAGTTATGGCGATGTTCCAGAAGAATATGGCATGACTGTATTTGAATAAATGTAGATTTTTGTACATGAATAAATGTATATTGTACATAAAAATAAGATACCACCTGAAAATAAGCCCTAGTGCATCTTTTAGAGCAAAAATTAATATAAGACCCGGTCTTATTTTCGGGGAAACACAGTACAATTCCCTCATCCCTTACAATTGCCCACGCTTCTTCAGGCCGATGGGAGTTGGAGTCCAGCAACACAGTGGGGCTAGTGGCACAGGCTCCCCACCTCTGAGACTGGAGAACCGGTGGGGTGCAACGGCCTGACTGCACTGGGGCCTCTTTTGGTGCTGTCTCTTTAAGGCAGAGGCGGGGGAGCGAGGCTCAGGCGCGCGACAAAGAAGAGTCGCAAAAGTTGAGCACGTTCGGCGGATTCGTCTGAAAATTTGGACGAATCATCATCATCATCATGATCATGATCATCATCATCATCTCCTCTCTACGCGGCCTCCTCTACTCCGGACAAATAACATTTCGTTCCAGAGAAGTCATTCGACGAATTGACAAACGGGAGCGGCGAATCGGCGAACGAGGTAAAATTACCCGGAAGTGGAGGAGGCTGACCATAGAGATTAAATCAGAAACCTAGCGCGACACAATTCCCATAACTTCTTATCGAAAGCGAAAGCCGCCATTGGTCGGACTTGATGCTCCAGCGTTACCGTAGAGAGCGAGAGGAAGCATATAGAGCGTCACTCACCTAACAACTTCCGGTCGCCTGTTCGCGGTTGGTACCGTTGCAGGATTTCTCTTTCTTAGCTGATGAGCCGTAATTCTGTCCGTAGGAGCAGCAGTGAGATCCCTTCAAGCTGGCTTCATTTCCATGGTCGGTGAGATCCCCGCTTTCCCATTTCTTTTATGTATTTATTACATTTTGCATCCCGCCGTTTTCCTGCAAGGAACAAATTGACTTATATTACCCTTCTCCTTTCCGTTTTATCCTCACAACAACCCTATCAGGTAGTTAAAGCGGAGAGTCAGGAACTGGTCTAAAGTCCCCCAGTGAGCTTTATGGCCGAGTGGAGACTAGGAAACCTCGAGTCCCAGTCGAATGCTCTAACCATTAGGCAACATTGGCTCTCAGTTTGAGGTCGTTCCAACATTAGCTTTTTGGTTGGTAAAATGCCTTACATTTTCCTTTTCTTACAGTTCTGAAAGGGACTATGAGGAGTTTTGTGGGTGTCACCCTATAAAGTATATTTCTTCTAACCTAATTTGATCCTAACTATGAGGGACGGCAGGAAGGAGGGTGGGAAGGAATCCACAAGAGAGAGAATGTCTGTCTGACCCGAGGTCATTCAGGCTGGACCTCATGACTGAATTGGGATTTAAGCCCTGGTTTCCACTGCCCAAATCCTCATGCTTTTTGGCTTTCTTTTCTGTGTTTCGGCCTTTAGCAAACCAGTGCCCCATAGTTATACTGGTTACTTGTTTCCTTGTCATCAACACCCACTGCCCCCATGTTATCCCACTGTGACCTTATGTATGAGGTACATTAGGCTGACAGCTTAGCAATAAAGGGGGCAATCCTCTCCATACTTAAACTGAAAACAGCTTTCTGGGGAAATGCTGGGAGTTGTAGGGTTTCCCCCCTCTAAGCATGCATAAGATTAATCAGGGTTTTATGTTTAAATGGAGATTTGAACTTCCGGCTTTATAGACTGGGGCCAACACTGTCTGCTACAGCAGTAAACATTCAGACTTTTCAGATTCAACCCATCCCTTTTTACCTCAAATCTGTGGCATGGGACTCAGTCTGTTTCATCATTTTGTTCATGTCCATCTTCCTTTAGACTCTCTTTCCACCTAGGATTATATCCAGGCTCTGTCTTCCATGAGGGAAAATGACCTTGTGCAAGAGGGAGGATCTTCATGTCAACTGGGGAATCCTGGAAATTGTAGGACTTTATTTTTCCTAAACCTGCACATAATTCTTCTCTAAATTGTGTTCGTGTTGCAGCAAGAAATTGCTTTCTTTTCTCTGCTCTATAGTACACTGCAGACTGTACTGACTTGCCTGCCTAAATCTGTAGAACTGAGTTTCTATTCTTGCACACTTCAGGGAACAATAAAGACCAGCTATACCTTCTCCAATTTCTGTATTATTACTTAATTCTCTTGCTTCTTGTTGTTCAGATTTCACCAAGGGAAATGGAAGCTGACTTGCTTCAAGTTCGTCATACAGTACAAGAAGCAGTTGACGTTCTATCTTCTTCCAGAGATGGTGTCCAGATCTCTAAGACTTTGTGGGGAATTAGGAGGTACCTTGGTGGAACTGAAAATCCACCCTCCATAAAAGAGAAAGAAGAATTTGCCCACTATCATTTCACAACCTTTCTGCAATGCCTTATCAGAAACCTGAATCCTGAATGGTGGGAACAATTCCCGTCTGACAAGGAGAAGGAATTGTGGGATAGCTTTTTCTTGGAAGGACCAGCAGACCAATCTTTTATAGTTCTATTGGATTCCATAATTTCTACAGAGTGAGTATAACTTCCATGCTGTGCCTTCATGTTCTAGAATTATGCCCTCCCTCCTCTTGTCTTATCAGCTGAGATGCAACAGGTTGTTGTGATGACTTGTAAAGTAAACGGAATTGCATTAATACTGGAGCATAGGTCTGTTGACAGTCTTTAATTAGAGACTTGGCCTCTCTGATCAGAGGCAGCATATTCCTAACTAGAAACTGGGGAGTAATAGCAACAGAAGATGTCAACTGAGATCATGCCTTTCATAGAAAATCCTTGTGTCATCTGGTCAGCAGCCACTGATAAAATGGCGTATTGGATGGACAGTTGATCCAGCAAGGCACAGGTGTTTTTGGGATGCTCTTAGTGACTGTGTTTGGGCAGCGTGTGGTGGTTACTTGGTGAGGAATATCCTTAAAAGGAGAAAGAAAGGAAAATATGTGGGTGGGACTTGTATCAGATTAACAGAGGAGGTCTATGGGAATCGCTGTGGTAAAAACAATTTGCTGAAAGTTTGTGAGCTTTCTGCACATTTTCAAGCCTTCATTCGCAACCAAAAATCCTAGAAATGTGCTTTTAATCTAAAACCTAGTTGAGGTTGACCAGAAGTCTACAAAGTCCACATTATGTGGAATTTAGCCAAGTGATGATGGAGGCCCTGTCACATTGCCTCTTCTTTATGAATCAAAATAACGGCTGGAACAACTTCTCTGTGCAGGCCCAGTTTTCGTCTGGATAAAGTCATCGGTGTGCTTGAACAGTTCCTGCAGAAAGCTGGGCTGTCGGCTCTGATGTGGGAGGTCTGCAGGCAACAGACACGCCTGGGCTCTCCAGTGCTTCAGGAAGCAATTCTCAGCAAGGTTGTGTCTCTGCCTGACCACCTGGGCAACAAGCTCCAGAGAGAAAACCGGACCATCTTCTTTCCTCAGAACTACTTTCCATTGCTGGGGGCAGAAATCATCCGGGTGCTGGAAAGGATCTGCAACTCACTGAGAGGTGAGCTTACCCAGGTTCTGATGCTGCACTGGCAGGCTGCAATTCAGGGAGGTGAAGCGGAGCTGGGCTGGTATTTCCACCATGAGCTTCTCTGTGAAAGTTGGAGAGATGGAGTGGGTAGGAAAGGGATAAATGGCGCCCCCCAGAATGACAGAACCGTACAATTCAAGCAGTGGATTCAAGCAGTGTTGTTCAATACGTGCCATGAAATTGTGGGTTGTTGAAATACAGGTTATTGTGTTGTCTGAACTCATCTGAGCTAACATGACTCAACAGATAAACCAAGGCTTCTTTGTGGTTTATTAGCATAGTGAGTTCAGACTGCTCAGTGACTTGCCTATGGACAGATCCTTTTGCTCAGCCCTTAGGTGTGGGTTACCATGCTGTCAGAACCCGGGGGGAGGGGGGAGGGGGAGGGGGAGGGTGCGGCTGCTGGCCTGCTTGCAGGAGTGTTGCTGCCGCAAGAAACAGGTTAAAAAGCAGAGAGCGGATAAGCCTGCTTCTGCTCTTCAAGGAGAGCTCTCCAGCCCTCCAGAAGCTTTCTCTCAGTGCCAGCATATAGGCAGCAGGGGTCTGCAGCTTGGACGCCAGGACCAGATGGAGGTGGGTGGAATGCTTAGCAGAACGCAGGAGACAAAGGCAAAGTCCAGGTACAAGCTCAGCTTCAATGCTGGCAGAGGCAAAGGTGAGGTCAGGGAAGACAAGGGTCAGGTGCCTGGCTAGGCAGGGCCAGGCCGGAGGCAAGGCTGGAGTCAGGAGCAGGCAGGAGTCAAGGCGCAGCTCCAGGCACGGCACGCCCGGGTGCAGGGTAGGAGCAGAGTGCAGCCACCCCAGAGGCCTGTGATCCTGTGGGGAGGCTAGGTAGGGCTGACCCCTCTTCCAGTCCTCCTGTGGCTCCTGGTAGGGTCTTGTTGTTACGGTGGCCCTAATCCAAGAAGCACCCACTGCCCTGATACCAGTCCTGCGACTACTTGCAGAATAAGCCAAGCTGCGCCCCACCAGAGGGAGCCCTGCTGCACTGCGGATCCTGCCGGCTTGCACTCTTTTCCCGCTCCTTCAAGACTCACGCAAGGGGTGTCTTCCTCACCTTCCTAGGCCCACTCGTCGCCCACAGCAGTGGGAAGGCCTGGAAACCAAGCTCAGCCCGTGCAGCTTTGATGAGGATCAGCATCTCTGCCATCTTTCATTGCGTGGATTGCGTAATGAAGCAGATTTTGCCACCCCTGTGAAGCACCCCTTCATTTCTAATTTTACTGCACTAACATGCCAGCTAATAAATTCCGACAGTCCAGAAGGACTCCAGCCTCTGTGTGTGCTCTGTGCTCACTTTGCAGTTGATGGACCTTCAGTGGAACAAATCCGAGATGGGCGCTCTCCGGCTGATTAACGGACTCTGGCGTTTCCTTTCTTGCAGGTGGCCTGGATTGCTCCATTGCCTTTGTGTCTCAGGTGCTGGGGAAAGCATGCATGCACGGAAGGCAGAGTAAGTGAAAAGTAACAGTGTACGTAAAATGTGTGTCATGCTTCACGCTTCAGAATTGCATCCTCCCAGTTTTGTCCCTGCAGTGGACTCAAACTGGAGCTGTTGGTGATCATCAGACATAAATCTGATCCCCAGAGCTCAGACATATGGGTATTGCAGTAGGAAATGAAGAAGGCAAGAAGACACAGCACAGCTTTTTCTGAGCCAAATTGTTGCAGCTGTTTGGCCGCAGCATCCTAAACCTCTGGCAGTTTTGCTTGTTTGCTGCCCTGCAATCTGAGATCCTTTCAGTCCGGGATGGAGCTCAGAGACCTTACAAGTGAGGGGCACGTGCTCTTGCATTGATGCCCCTGCCATTTAAAAGGCGGAGAATCCAGCATCCCCTCAACTTACCTTATGGCAGGGTCTGAGCTAAGTTTATAAAAAAAATCATGCCCCACCACTGAAGCTTTACTAAGGTAAAGTGCTAAGTAATCACTACTGAAAAAAATCTAAGAAGCCCTCCATTTCTAGGGTTACAACTCTATAAAGATTTCAATTTCAGGGGAGGCTGGATCTGAAAAATTGGACACTTTAATGGTAACAATGACAGACACTGTAGGATAGTGGTTAGAGTGCTGGACTGGAACTCATTTCCAGGTTCTAGTCCCTCCTCTCCCATGCAGCTGAGCTCACTGGGTGACTTGGGTGAGTCATTGAGTCTCAGCTTAGTCTACCTCACAGGGTTGTTGTGAGGAGAAAACAGGAGGATTATATACGCTGTCTTGGGTTCCTGGCATTCAAGCAGGCAGTAAACAAATATATGAGGTTTTAAAAATAGTGTGACAGATAATTTTGGTTTACGAGTATCAGCCACTCGAGGAGAGGATTTTAACGGTACTTCTCTGAGAATTTTTTGTTTCCCCAGATGATTTAACTGCCCCTTGAGCTGCATTTCCTTCCTTCTCTCTGCCTGGCCTCCATGTTCCCTTAGCATGAGAAATTAGCAGAATTAGAGGAATATTTAACGTATTGACAGATGCTGTTTCTACTGATGATATTTTAATAAGATATGTATGCATGTCTTGTGAAACATTAAAATTCAGTAATAAACCCACACTGGAAAAATTGCAATGTGAAATTGCAACATTTCTTGTCGGTAGCAATGTGAATCAAACTCCGTAATCCCATATCAGTAATCAGTCCTAGTTAGGACCAGTAAAAGGTAATAATCAGACAGTCTTAAAAACAGAAGCTTAAATTGTGCAATTTTAATGTCACCCTTTCAGAGGCCTGAGAAAATAAACAGATGCTTCCCTGGTGTCAGAATGACCATAAAGAAGGTGCTGGGAAACACGTCTGTGGAGGGCGTTGCATAGCCAGTCGGCCACTGGGGAGACCTCCTCCTCTCTGGTGGCCATCCCCCTTGCTTCTTTTGACAGAGGCCCTAAAGAAGTCTCTGAAGACGTTCTCACGGTTTGGATGGGCACGTGTCACAGGAGGCGATCCTTCCGAAACCATCGTCCTCACCCCTTTGCGGGTTTCAAGGTCCAAGCCAGCAGTTTTAATTGTACCCTGAAAGCATCTGAGTATCAGCTCAGCCCAGTGCCTGTTGTCAGCCTTGTGGCCGTTTTGGAGTGGCCGAGGTGTTTGGCTTGTCCTCTGAGACAGCCTCATGGGAGGTCATCCAGGTCCGGCGACAGTAGCCAGGCCTTTTCCATCCGGGCAGGGACACAGCTGGCAAATCAGCCGAAGCTGGGAAAAGGCACTTTGTGCCAACCATAAAGGTCCCCGTAACGCTAGACCCATAAGCACACCCCACACCGTGTGCCTGATGCGCTTGGCAGAGCAGCTGTCTGACCCGCACCGCTCGCCTGTGTGGACGAACTGCCCACTCGCAGCCCCCACAGTGTTTGAACAGAGGTGCTGTTCGGAAAACTGACTCCAGTCCGTTGTGCCCCCAAGACTCCCACTGCCTCTCCTGAGTTTGGTGGGAAAGCAAAGCTGGGTGTCACCCCCAAATTGGTGACCTCAAGCAAAATTTCCCAGTGACTTTAAATGTTAAATAGGATCGGGAGAAGGACCAAGCCGTTCGGGATTCCAAAACAACTGCCGATAGGTTTAGCAGTGCTTCTGCACCGCCCCCTGGAATTGGCCACCAGGTGCTGCCTCCAAGCTCATCCAGAGCCACACCGTGTAGGGAGGTCAGGAGAACCAGTGAAGCTGCACTGGCTCCCCCTCTCTTTCGACAGCATTCATTCTGTAGGAGGCCCAAGTCTCTGCAGCTTCTCCCAAAGTCAGGTCTGAAAATGGAACTGCAAATTTAAATGAGTTCAAGGCCTGCGAGCAGTCAAGTTTACACACACCAAAAATGACACATGTTGTTTTGTGTTTTCTCTTAACATTGTTAAGTCTGTGCATATCATTTAAAGCCGTCCAGGAGTGAGGTACTATTGGAAAGTTTAGGTGGAAAGCATGCGGTGAGACATGTTTTCAGCCTCACTGCTATATTCTTCACCCAAACTGGTGGTCCGTCAGGGCTGTCTAAACCTTCCATCCTTGCCAGCCAGCCTAGCCAGTGGGCGCTGTTGTCCGAGGCACTGAGGGCACCAGGTAAGGAAATCCTTGGAAATTTGCATAGAAATGACCCCCCCCCCCAAGCTGGTGTGGTTGCCTGGAAAATGTCTAGTGAGTAAACGGGAGCTTCTGTTTGGTAAGAGGATTTTCTTCTGTATTTTATTTCTCTCTCTCAATTTAGAATAAGAAGGGCATATCTCCCCTTTTCTTTCTTAGTTGCTGCAAGGCAGACCTCTAAGGAAGATCGCTAAGGAAGGAATGCTTGCTGTCCATAGTTTTTCCTGGCAGACAGCAATAATACGCTGGGTGCCTTGGGCATGCATTCGAACAGAAGTCGAAAAGGCCACCTCCTAGAAGCCGAGGAAGAGTCCCCTCTTTCTGTCCTCCCCGTTATCTCAGTTCTTGGCTCAAAACTGAAGCAATAGTTATATTTTTTGTGCTCCACTCACACCGTTCTTCCGTTGATGCAGAGGAAATCCTGGGTGCGTTGGTGCCCCACCTCATGGAACGCACCCGGGTGGACTGCATCTGGCAGAGGGTGTCCTGGAGGCTGGTCCGGAGTGTGCCAGATCGCTGGCTGGAAGCTGTGGTCTGCGGCCTTGTTCAGGCAGCACCTGGGTAAGAGGCCGTGTGGCTGCGCAGCATTGATGGGATGGCCGGCCAGGTGCGTCGCCGCAGGGATTGAGGGTAGCCGTCGCCGTGGCACACCTGTGTCATGCTAGTTGAGTGTGGTGTCAGCCTCTCAGCACTTTCACATAGCCACAATTCCCAGCCCCACTTGAGGAAAAACATAACTGCAGAAGCTTCAAATGGGTGGGTGTGTGGGTTTAATGGTGCCTGGAAATCCACACGTCATTCCAAAAACCTTCGTGGTGCAATTCCTCTTCCTGTTTCAGGTATGCTAAGGGCAGGTTTGCTTTTCACAGAGACAGACATGCCGTCCTGCGTGGGCAGCTCCCTGTGGAAAAAGCAGTGCATGTCAGCACATCCTGGGGAAGACATACATGCGGTGCTTCTCACGTAAACATGCATCCAGCCACCGATGTACGTAGGTGGCTTCGGGGACCAGACCAGTTAAATGCGAGAGAAGCTTCCCAATGGTGGTCTGCCAGGAAGACGAAGTCGTACCTCCAGGATCAGAGCGACCATGTCTCTGACTGCCAGTCCTTGGGAAGCAGCAGTATGGAAGGACACATCTGCCTTTCCCACTGATTGGGGCGATGATGCCATTGCTGCCGTTTATTTCAATTGTGCCCTATAGTTGGTGCTCTCTGGGTGGTAAACAACAGTGTGCACACCATAAAACTTCAGGAAAAAAATAAAGCCGCATTTTGACAACTTAACCCGCTAAGAGGGAGTCCGTACAGCTCAGCTTTCTGAAACAGCCAACAATGCCCCCCGCCTGCTGTTGAATGTCTTGGCAGAGAGGGCAGTCTTAGCCAGGCGCCAAAAGGAGAGTAAAGTTGGCGCCTGGTGGGGTATTCATTCCAGAATGTGGGGGCTACCACAGAGAAGGTCCTTCTCCTTGTGGCCACCAGCTGAGCCTTCTTTAGAGGTGGTGGTCGGGGAAGGCCCCTGACAGTTGTGTTGGGGCAAGTGCTGGGAGGGGGATTCTGTCAAGTATTTGTGGCCCCAAGCCATGTAGGGTGGAAAGCGGCCCCTCGATGTGTTTTTTCCCCATCCTAATGGGACTCTGTTCCTTGTTTGCTAAGAACTTTCTGACTTCTGTTTCTGAATCAGCTAGTTGCAGAATCGGCTTGTGAATTAAAATGGCATGAATTTGGGAGGAAGGACTTGTGTGCTGACATGGTCTTATCTGTCTGCATCACCAGGGCGCCTGTGTTGTCCCGCCTGCTGGGGAATCTTGTGGTGAAAAGCAAGAAGGCCCAGTTTGTCATGACCCAGAAAATGCTGCTGCTTCAGTACAGCTACCCGGTGAGGGTCCTGTGTGTCTCTGAAGGGGAGCCAAGCGCCTTGCTTGGGAGCGTTTGCCGGCCCTGACGTGGACTCGGTGGAAAGACCCAGCCCAGCCTTCCCCGCCCTTGGGACCTCCAGGTGTTTGGACTTCTATTCCTATCAACCCCATCAGCATGGCCAGTGGTCAGCAATACTGGGAGTTGTGGTCTGAAACATATGGAGGGCACCAGGCTGGGGAAGACCTGCCCTAGCACGTTCATGTGGCGCATCCAAGCAGAGATACTGAAAGCGTCGCCCGTGTAAAGAGCTCCGCCTTTGGCGAGACAGCCCTTGCGCAGTTCCGAGGTGCTCTTCTGCTCAGGCGCTCGGCAGGCCTGGGCTGCCTCTGCCTCCGAGCTGAAGCTTTGTCGGACCCCTTCAGATGTTGCTCTTGGTTCAGCCTTTGCTATGCCTGGGGTCATGTTTGGGCCCCTCCAGTTCACCAGATGGCCCTGCTCCATGCCACCAACTGTTCACGGTCTGGTGGCTTCCTGGGCTATTTTCCCCACTGTCTTGCAAAGCTGAAATTCCTTTCCTTGAGGTTATTGATTTATTTCTGTACCACCCAAGAGCTGAAGCTGTCTGGGCAATCACTACAATTTCTCAAAATTCAAAAGTGAGACACTGTTAAAATATAAATAAAACACAGTAGGAAAGTCTGATATACACATTGAAAACAGTTAAAAATTCCAGTATACAAAAATGCTTAATTCCTAGCAGTAAGAGGCTTCATGCGGAGAATGTCTGGCATTTTAGCTCTGCTGCCCCTGCCTTCAGCCCCTGCAGTGCTCCTGTGGGGAGCATCTCTGAAACCGGCTTTTGCCCTTGGGGTGAAAGAGGTTTGGCATTCTGTGTTAGAGGCCTTGGGACCACTGTCAGCCTCGGGGGAGGGACCGGCCAGGCTGCTGCTGGCAGGGGATGAAATAGTCCAAGGAGGTGCTGGGTTGGAGAAGACTGACCTGGGAAAAGAAAATTAATTCCGCTAAGCTGCTTTGTGATGGTGAAGCCTGCTCTGGGTCTCTTCTCCTTCCCTGCTGCCCTGTCATGTTTTTTAAAATAGCACCATGCCTGTCACAGCAATGCACCAAGCACAGTGACCAATGCCATTGTCACAGGAGAGGAATCCACTGTCCCTGTTCTTCTCTGTTTTCTCCTTCCCTCTTGTGGAGCACAGCGTCAGATGCGCTGTGCAGTTCCTAGCATGTAAGAAGTCCCGGCGCCGATGGCGGCCCTCCATTCACTCCCTCCATTCACTCCCTCCCTCCCTCCCTCCATTCACTCCCGTGCTTTTCGAAGCCCTCTGTTCCTGGGAGGGTCTGTGCTTGATGTCCAGCCTTTGCCCAACGTGTGAGACCCGTGGTTTCGTTACAGACGGCGGTGCTGCTGACCCTCCTTGGCTACCTGGCCCTGGACAGCCTGCGGCGTCCCTTGCTGATCAGAGTAAGTGGGCTGCCTGTTAATCCTCTCCCTCTGCTGTGTGCTGGAGGCAGACACGCCATGGTTTTGTGCCGTGTAATACGTGTGTCAGAACTAACTCAGGGTGGAAGAGACGCTCGTTCAGAATGACTGATGTTGCCAAGAGGTGGTTGCTTGACTCTCCTGCGATTTCTGTTCTGAGTTTCGGCCCTCTTCAGCGTGAACACAGAGAGACAGAGATGATCTCAGCTTGTCTCCTTTGGTGGAGGAGAGTATCTTTGCACGGGATGCTTCTCCCATTTGCTTTAGAAAAATTGCTGTCCGTGTGATCCAACAGGGCAAGATAAATCAGTGGTGCTGGCTGCTGCACCCGCCCTAGCGCCAGCTCCTGGACTAGCCTTCACTGCAGAAATCCAGGCTTTTGCTTAGTAGCGCCGGTGCCACTGCGGCCGAGTGGTCCCTTGTCCACGCGGGGCTGTGGCTGGTGAGTCGCTTGAAGCAGGCAGACGGCACACCAGAAGGAAAAGCGATCACTTCTTTCAGGCTCAGGAACCCCTCACCCACAGGGATCAGTGTGGGCTTATTGGCCCTCATCCAGCCTGGAGCTGAGTCTGGGTGACGACCTGGGCCTTGCACAGCTTCACCTGCCTTGGATGGCCCTCAGCTCAAAATCCCACAGGGGCCATTCCAGGCAGTTTCCTACAGCTGTTCCATAGCATTGGGGTGGGACCCTGCAGAGCCCCAGAGCTCAATTGCCAGGGGGCCAAGGAATTCGGCTGCACACTGACTCACCATGTGAAAGCTTGGATGCAGCTAACGAGTCATGGCTTGTGGTACCATCAGCTGGCACCATTCCTCCTTCCCGAGCATGCGCATGGCCTCTGTGTGTGCTGTTACCTGAGGCTTGGCTACTGGGGCGACTTGGCTCGCGTGCCTACAGGGCTGTGCGTGCCCACGGCGGCACGCCTTGCCATAATTTCGCCACCGCTGGTCCAGACGATCTCGATTCCCTTTTCTCCTCACGGGTGTCCTGTGAAGCAGGCTAAGGTGAAGGTTGCTGGGCAGCCTCCTGGCTGAGCAGGAGCTTGTGCTTGGGTCCCCCCAGTCCCCGTTGGGCACTTCAGCCATTACTTCACACCGGCCGCTTTTGAAACGGTGAACTGATGGCTCAGAGGGAAGGGTCAGGGCACATTCCAGACCCTGGATGGCAACTTGAGGCTTATGCCCACAGCAGCCTCTCCCTGGCTTTTCCTGGAGGCGCAGGACAGGAGGTCTTGGCGCAGGGCAGGCCAGTGTCCCGACTAAGATGGCCTGCGAGGGAGACTTTCCTCCCTGAATCGTACTGCCGGATAAGAAAGCTGGTGGCGAGATATCTAAGCCAGGCTTTTAAGAGGCACAGGGATGGCTGCAGCTGAGGGATCCCTCACGCAAGGTGGAAATCCCGCCCTTCCGGCCTTCCTTCTAGCCTGGTCTTGTCGGGCCTCCCCAGAAGAGTCAGCCTGCAGGGGGGAGGGAGGCGGCAGGGATTTAAATAGCCCTGTCTGTTGGAGGGCTGTGGGGTTCTCGCATGTCGGTCCAGCATTCTTGTTGCAGGCAACAGGCTGGGAGGGGGCTGGTTCGCCCCAGGGGGTGTGCGCTACGTAACGTGCTGAACCTGAGGCGGCGGTTTCTGGTGCAGGTACTGAAAGAGCTGCTTGAGGCCTGGGGGAGCAGCAGTGCCGTGAAGCACTCTCCAGCGGAGCAGCAGCTGTACATCAGCAAGGCCATCTTGATCTGCCTCTCTCACCTGAATGAAGAAGAGATCATGGGCAGCAGGCAAGGTGAGGAAGGAAGGAAGGAGCAGGCGAGACGGAGAGACGGTTCCGTGGGCTGGCTGCTGGTTCTCTGGCTCTAGCTCACAGCGTGCTCTCTTGAAGCAGCTCTTCCCATTGTGGCCATCAGCCCCACCCCCCGGGGTGTGAGCCGCTGCTGCCACCAGGAGCTGGGATGCCAAGCTCTGAAAGCTCCCACGGAAGCGGCAGGTGCATACAAGTGGATTTAAGTGGTGCTGAGCATCGTCCAGCGGGGCGGGTGAGAAATCCTGTGTGTAGGAGGCAGCGTTTCCTTGTGGAGAAAGTCCTGGGCTTCCTCGGAGAAATCTGGACAGCTTCTTGCAGGAAAGTCAGAAAGTGGCTGGGACAGCACCTCTACTGGGCTGCTCCTGTGACATAAACTGCTCGCCAAGGTGTGGCTGGGCCGGTTGTGCAGCTGAGAAGCGGCTGAACGGGAGCTCGCATGGCCAGAGGCGCTGTATTGGCGCACTGGTTCTGGCAGCCACTGCTTCCTGTACGTTGGGAATGAGCAACTCGGGGCCCTCCAGATGTTGTGCAGCAGCAGCTCCTTTCATCCTTTGCTTTAGGCTATGCAGAAACATGTTTCATGTTTATTGCCAAGTTAGCCACCCACTGGAGGTGTAATTCTGCCAATGCTTCACTTACCCATGTTTTGGCAATGCCCAGTGGTTCCTGTTTTTTGGGCGGAGGTTATAGCATAACTTTAATATTTAGTGGTGCATACATCCCTTTAGCTGGTTTAAAAAATTAATCAGTCTTTTTCTTCCTATATGGAACTTTTCAGAAAACAGCATAAATGGATTTTCCATGCCCTTTTGACAGCTAAAAGATTGATATTGCAGGACTGGAAAGATAACACAGTGGATTGAAGATCTAATAACACTTTCGGTATCTGAATAGGAGGCCACAGCTTACCTATCCCATTATAGGTTTTGTTGTACAGGAACATGGTGGGCTTTTAATTCTGATGCACAGGCAGAAGCCTCTGGCTGTGTTCCAGTCCCATGAAATTTATTTTCACACCAAATAATGTGTCTTCTGGCCAGTCTTTCTCCATGGACCACTGTGCACCTCAAGGTCCAGCCAGGCCCTTCTCTGCAGTTGAAGGATTCCGTTCAAAACTGCACCCCGCAGTGGTTGTGTGGATGTAGAGCTAATTCAGGTGTGTTTGTGCCTCTTGTATCTGGAACAGCACAGCAATTCCCAGGTGCACTTCACTGTAATCTCCCTTTGCCGACCTGGAGTTGGTCCATGTGCACAGGACGGCGACTCCCGTTTCAGCCCAGCCAGGGTTCCAGACTGGGGAAAGCTGTTGTAACCTTACATACTAATCTTCCACCTTGGATACTAGACTTAACTACCTTGATTTGGATGAATCCTGAGAGAGAAAGTTGCAATCTCCTGTTTGTGTCAGGAAGCCATGGCTTGACTGTTACACAGTACGGTTTTTTGTAGAATGGTACACAGCTGCTTGTAAGGTTTCTCTTAGCTTCCGCAGAGGCCTTGGCTGTCCAGCTTGTTGAAGGCGGAAGTGAGTTGCTGTTTTCTCGCAGAAGGGGTGCTCACTTGCTTTCTGCTTGGCCTTCTAGAGCTGCTGTCAAGTATGATGGAGGGGATGAAGTGCCACCTGGACAGCAACTCGCCGCGGATCCGTCACATGGGGATGGTTGTCGCAGAGTGTCTCAGTGCCAGGATAACCCCTGAGGAGCCTGCCTTGAAATTTCAGGTAAACTAGCAGAGCGATGTTCGGTAGCGCTTCATTGTGAAAGAAATATCCCCCTTGGCGATGCTGATGAAGATGCCTTTGCTGCTGCATCCCAGCTTGTGTCCTTTAGGATTGGGAAGGGGCAGAAGAGAAGAACGAAAATAACACTGTCTGTTTGAATGTAATTACGATCCTCGTTTTCCTGCTCTGTGAACGAGAGTACATGAGTCATGAATCTCAAGCCTTTTGAAGTTGTCAAATTGGAATTTGAAAGAAAGTATTTCCTTTCCTTTTGCAAGGGTGAGGGAGGGCAGTGGAAGTTCTTGCTACAACTTTTAAACAAATCACAATTCTACATTACTTAGAGAGCTCAGGGAACCTGGTTTGTTGGAACAGGCCAGGATCAAAACATGATTTTGGAGCCTGCTTTGTTTTGTAACCACAGTTTAAACAAATCCTAGTTCTCCAAGTTTGGATTTAACAGGAAACTGTGGTTTGTTTAAAAAGAGCAAAAGCTTCAGAGTTCTTTGTAGGATCACTAGAGGAGAGGAATAGCGGGGTGGAGACCTGTGGCACATGTACATGGAACAGAAGATCATTATTTTTGAATTGAGCCAACAGATGGTCAAGTCTGTTGAATTAATCCTCAGCTTCCTCAAGAAATAAGATGGCTGCCACTTCACTTTATCCACGAGACAGTCCATTTGCTTGTCTTCTTAGCAAACCTTAATTTCTATTTATTTTAAATGTTAGTACAAAGAAGATGATGAGATCAGAGAGCTGAAGTCCTGCATGAGTCAAAGAGCAGAAGAGTCCTCTGGCAGAGATTCCCCGAGCACTGGGTAAGTTGAGGCCTCATCTTCTTGCAACTGGGCCTCAGGTTTGTTCATGTGTTCTGACATTCTCTCCCTATTGGAGATGCTGCTCCAGTTCACATGCAGTGCCAAATCATGAAGGAACAGCAGTGAGCTTTGGGCTTGGCTTCTTCCCTCTTTCCCCTCTGGCAGGAGGAGTTTGGAAGCATCCACTATCTGGTTTCAACTAACTGGAAATCCTCATTATGTCTGAACTGGGAATACTGATTGGTTTAAACTCTAGTTTGTTGAAACAAACCAGGTTCATAAACTAATGCTTGATTGTCCTTTATTTCAGTAAACTAGAATTTAAGCTTAACCACAGTTTGTCCTTTTCAGACATAGTGGTAAACCATGCCCCCAAGGAAGAGAGAGGAGGAGACACCAGGCTATCCCCCAAGCCTGCAGTTGCATGCTCAGGTAGTGCTTCAGGGGAATCGCTAAACACGCACCCTTGTTAGCACTGGGAAGGTGCCGAGAACTACAAGGAGCGAGAGCCCTCAGCCTCCCCAGGCCGCTTTTGAGGCCTCAGAATGACACCTGCGAGGAAGCTGTAGAACCTGCTTGAATGCAAGAATGGATTTGCACTAGGAACTTTCCCTCCCTCCCTCCCTCCCTCCCTCCCTCCCTTCCTTCCTTCCTTCCTTAAATTTCTAGCTCACCCCATTAGCCACACAGCTCCTTTGGTGGGTTACAAGAATAAAAACCATATGCGAATAATATAAAACAGTATAAAAACACCACAGTCAATAAAAATGTTAACAACAATAAATATACACCCACCAGAACTCCTAATTTCATAAAAGACAGATACCCTTCTATTAAAATGCCATTAGACACTATTCAACATTTAATATACCAGCAGAATAAAAAGGTCTTTGCCTGGCACTGGAAAGAAAAGAATATAAAGATGGCACCAGGCGCACCTCTCTGGGGAGCTCATTCCAAAGTCAGGGTGCCACTCCTGGAAAGGCCCTTCTTGTTGCCACCCTCCTTATTTCCTGAGGAGGGGGCTCTCTGAGAAGGGCCTCAGATGCAGATTCGAGGGGTGGGTAGGTTCATATGGAAAGAGGTGCTGCTTTAGATACCCTGGCCCCAAGCCAGCTAGGGCTTTAAACACTAACATTATTCCTTGAGTTGGGTTCAACTGGTAGCCAATGCAGTTGGTAGAAGACTGGCTTTCTGTGATCATATCTGCCAGTCCTCGTTAGCACTTGAGCTGCCCTATTCTGGACCAATTGAAGTTTCTGGGCCATCTTCAAAGGAAGCCCTATTGCAGTAGTCCAGGTGAGAGCTTACCAGTATATGGTTCTGTCTGTCCAGATACGGCCTCAGCTTTAGTTGATTGAAGGCGCTGCTGGAATCCACCTAGAATTCCAGGGATAATTCAGGGTCCAGGAGCATCCCCAAGCTGTGAACTCTGTCCTGGACAGAGTGCGACCCCATCCTGGACAGGCAAGCTGATCCCCATCTGGATTACTTTTCATTTGATTAGCATTCATCCAATCCATTACTTGAGGCATGATCTCAGTTCAGAACATCCACTGCTCCACCTGCGTTCAATGGAAAAGAAAAGTAGGGATTAGTGTATTCAGCATACCGATGACAACCCAACCTCACCCAACGTTTTCATGTACATGGGGGATACAGTAGAGGCCTCTGAAACCCGTGGCGTTCATGCCATGGTACAGAGCAGTAATCCCCCAGCTCCACCTTCTGGACATGGCCAGTAAAGAAGGAATGGAACCACTGCATTGCAGTCGCTTTCCTGGCATAGGTCATCCCACAGGGCAGGTGAGGCAGTTTCCGTTCCACATCCAGGTCTGAATCCCGATTGAAATGGACCAAGATGGGCTGTTCCATCCAAGAGAGCCTGGCATTGGCCAGCCGGTGCTTGCTTGCCCACTTTGCCCAGGACGGGATATTAGTGACTGGTCAACAGTTGTTCACATTGCTCAGGTCCAAGCGGCTTCTTCAGGAGTGGTCCAATTACACTTTCTCCTAACAAGGCTGAGACCACTCCCTCCTAATGAGGCAGTCACAGCCCCCGGGAGCCGGGGATGCGCCCCATCCTTACCTTGAAAGACCACCCATGATGGACAGGGGTTGGGCCAAACCAGTCCAAGTACTCTGTCCTCATCCTTAGGCCTCAACAACCAAAACTCTGCCTAGAAACTTGGACCAGATGGTGCACTGGGCACCTCAGCCAAAGGTCTTCAACCGTGGAGTCCAACTCCTGACAGGTCTGAGCAATTTTACCCGCAAAGTGCTGTGCAAACCCTTCCCAGTGGGCCACTGGGGGTTCCAGTATTTCTTTCCCTCGGCCGGTTTGTAAAAGCCCCTGAACCACTTGGAATGTCTCTGCTGGACGGCACTGAGCGGACGAAATGGACGCGGAACAGGGAGCTTGCTTTGCTGCCTTTGCTGCTCTATAGCAAGCTCTAAGCCCTGCTCAGTTAGATTTATCACGGGTTTTTCGCCATCTGTGCTCAAGCTGTCTTCCCACCCATTTCGTCAAGCTCAGCCCCAGTGTGTCCACGGGGCCAAACGAGCTCATGCAGGGGAAGGGGGCACTTGGGTGCCACCGTGCCAACTGCCCGGACCATCTCCAGCACAATTATAGCCACAAAGAATTTGCGGAGGCCGTGAGCATCCAGTTGCATCAAGTTGCAGACCTTGGGTAGGAAGGAAGTGCTCAGAAAAACGGGTCTGCATGAGAAAACTGCCATTTGGGCTGAAGGCAGAAGGGCCTGCAGAGTCTGCGTGTGAAACAGAGGGCCAGTAAAAGCACCGTAAAAGCATTTAAATTCACTTCAACCCCAACTTTTATGTTTTTTCCCCTTTAGACCATGTGTGAGTCTAAATAGGCCCAACGTCTGAGGAAGGAGACCTTTCTCCAGAAGACCTTATGCCACAGCAAATATGTTGGTCTTGGAAATGGTTCTGGCAGTGATAAAGCCCGCTTCCCCCTTGCGAATTTAGTACGCGGAGAGGCTGTTCCGGCAATCTCAGGGAAGCAGAGGCCCGCCTGCTACCTGCCGCCTGTTCCATTCTGGTTGCTTGTGCCCAGGTGGGTTTGAGGTGACACGAGCTGCTAAACTGACCGGTGTCTCTTCCTGCTGCAGGAGCGGCAGGCCGTCTGCAGCACCAGACGTCCCGAGCCTCGGTGTGGAATCGGTCTCAGGTGCTTCTGAAGAAGTGAGTCAGGGAACGGATTCTGAACTTGACAGGTAAGTGCTGAAGGTCACGTTGACAAGTAAGAAGCAAAGTGCCTGTGGACCCGCTTGGTGTGTCTGAATCGAAGCACGGACTGCGAATGCGCTTGAGCCCTGCTGGGGATTTCGCCCTTGTCTCTGCCTTTTGCAGCGACGACGACCTCGTTCCGTACGACATGTCGCAGGATAAAGAACTGAAGAAGACCAAGGCTCCCAGCTACATCCGAGACTGCCTAGAAAGTAAGTAAGACACAGGCAGTGCAGGGAATCTGCGTTGTGTTCTTCTCAGGTTGTCTTGCCACGTTGATACCCCGGCTTTTGCTTTCAGAAGCTCAGGGTGGCCTGCTAGGTTCTGCCCCCGCCTTTTGCCCTCTCAGCAATCCCGTGGGGGGTGGGGTTAAGCAGAGAGGCAGCGAATGACCCACTGTCATCTTCCAAGGGAGGCGGTGGAGGCCCCGTCAGTGAGGGTGTTCACGGAAAGATTGGGCAACCACATGTTGGGGATCACATGAGTGGAGCCCGCTGGAGCCGGGGGTCAGACTAGATGGCCCGGGAGGCCCCTTCTGACTCGCTCTCTTTCTCCTTTTCTGCCTTGGGAGCACAGCGGCCAAGTGGAGGTATGAAATCAGGTCTCTCCAAGCTTAGTTGGACCCTGAGCCACCTTGCAGGGTGGCTGCCGCCCGTCGCAGCCCTGCTGGAGAGAGCCACGTCCCCGGTGCCTTGCGTGCCCGCCGCCCCCACCCGATGCCCTCCAAGGCTGTGAGGCTGCAGCGCGTGCTGTTCACAGCCGTTGGCCGCGGCGGCCACGTGGCGCAGGCGCAGTCCGACCCCTCTGCAGCGTGCCGGATCGGGACTGCTGCCCTGCGCAGGCAGCCTGCCGGGCTGCTTTGCCCTCTGTCGTCCCCCAAGCCCCCCTGAAGCATCTGCAGACTCAGATCTTGTGCCTGGGCACTATCAGCACACAGACGCCGGAAATGCACGTGGGGTCCCACAGAGGCGGCACCTCCTCCTCCTCGTCAGCTCCTTCGGCTGCAGAGCTGCCCCACGGCCTGTGCTGGGAGACCCTGCCACCCCACCCCCACATGCTCGAGCTGCCTGTTTGAGGGACTTCAGGTCTTAAATTTGCATCCTCCCTGCCAATTTCTTGTACGTGTTTTGGATTGTAAGCCTGGATCTTCGTCAGGCTGCCCTGGGGGCTCTGCTGGCCAACAAGCAAGGCAAAACAGCTTCAGATAGAGGAATAATGCGGATTTTGATTGCAGGACAGTGTGTCGCCATCCAGCTCAGTTTACATGGGACTCAATTCAAACTTGCTCTTTTTAAAATTTCCCTCAGTCTTGACTGGGCCAGAAGATGCAGACAAATATGAAGCCACCATGGGCGTCCTGGAGGTTCTCATTCGAAGGAATCCGGCGCCTGCACGGGAGGTAAATGCAGTCCAGGCCTGTTGCTTACTGCTCAGCCTCAGTCCTGATTCTGCTTGAGAAATAGCCAGATGTGGTTATACGTGGTGGTGCAGGGCCTTGCCTTGGGCAACTGTGTTCACAAGCCTGTCCTGTGTTTTGGGCCAGCCACTGGTACTGAATGACCTGGTTTGTGTGACCAGGACAAGAAGCCATGATTGTTCAAAGAGGCAGCGTGTGCATTGGTCTGTTCCCCCACCTGCCTCTCTCTGGTCACTGTCGGGATGGGGCCCACCAGTCCCAGAAAAGAGACTGTGGCGATTGTGTGAGTCAGTGAAGTCCGTGACTCAGACATGGAGAGGGCTCAGGATCCACCCGCCCTGACACGCCAAGGCCAGGGGACCCAGTGAGAAGCTGAGAGAACCAGGCAGTCTTGGGTACCGTACAAAAGCTGAGTGAGCAAGCCGAGGAGGAAGCGGGCAGGCCTGGCACCAGTGATCCCAGGGTTTGGTGGCTGGTAGAGAGGACAGATGGTTTAAGAATGCCAGATGCCCCAGCCATGGCCCTCAACGAGAGGATCCGCCTTCCGTGTGGGAGGAAGGAGAGGGAAATCTGTTTAGAATCAATCTATCATACAGCCACATTTCCTTCATGGCCAGTATTCTGAATTTGCTTGTTTCTTTTGGTACTGACCTCTGCAATGCCCGCCTTTTGTACGCTAAAGCCAACCCAGCTGATCAGCTTTAACACAGTCCAGCCTTTTGGGTAGAAAGCTGCTGTCTGGCTCTCTTTGGAAGGAGCAGGAGGGGAAAGGCTGCAGCTGCCAGTTCCTCCGAATCCAGGTCGCATGGCTTGCTTGAGGGAGAAAGAAGCTTCAGAGAACCCACGTCCTGTTGCCGGGTGGCTGGAAAGCTGCTTCATCCATCCCCAGACAGGCCATGTGGCAGCCTCTTCCCGACCCAGGCAGGCTGTGCCCACACGGGATCGGGTCACGGTGCCCTGCATGCGTCTCGCCGGCCGGCTTGAGCATGTGAACCAGCCCCGCCGCAGTGGCAGTTGGCCTGGCGGGAGGAGCAGAGTGTTGTCCCGCAGTTGCAGGAGCAAATTTGCCCTTCCGTGGCTGCAGCTTTCAAATGCTGCCCAGGTGGGACGGTGCGGAGATTGGGTGCTCCACTTTGGTCTGTCTGCACAGGTGAGCGTGGAACTGGCGAAAGTGCTGCTGCACCTGGAAGAGAAGAGCTACATCGATGGCTTTGTGGGGCTTCGGCAAAGGGCCTTGGTGGCCATCACGGTCACAGACCCCGTTCCGGTGAGTCCTGGGACTGCCTTCGGGCACGAACGACGGGGGCAAAGGGGCCCTGTGGCGCTTCCTGCCCCCTCGGAGAGGCTTCTGACAGTGTCGGGGAGCCTGCGGTGGAGGGAAGGGAAAGGGGCCTTCCAGGAAGAGGCGGGGGAGCCCTGCAGTGCCGGAGCAGCTGCTTTGGGCGACAGGCTCACTGACGGGGCCGGACTGTTCAGCACGGGGACCTGGCAAGCCCCTCGATGCTTCTTGTCGCTTAGGTGGCCCAGCATCTCACCTCCGAGGTCTACTCCCTGAATTACAGCCTCCGCCAGCGCATGGACATCCTGGATGTAAGTGGCAGCTGCTTGTCCCTTCCCCTTCTGCCTTGGGGAGCCCCTGTTGCGCAGGGCAAGGAGACTGAGCCCCTGGGGGGCCACTCTGGGGGCAGACCCCAGCCCGCCTGGGACGGGACACCTCTCGGAGCCTGAGGCGAGCCTTGCTGGCTTCACTTGGGCCCGTTGTCCCCTTTGCATCACGGGTGAAATAACAGTGGACTGCCTGGGCGTGAGCCTTTTGACAAGAGAAGGTGTGTTAAATCCCCAAAGATACTCTGCAGCTTGGCTGGTGGGGGTCATTCTGTGAGCCGCTCTGAAAAATGCATGTTTTGAAAAGTGGCATATAAATAAATGATAAATTGGCGTTCTGGGCACTCTAATATTAACAACAACTTACATGATATTTGATAATGGGGCATAAACATGCAGAATTCGCTTTTGGCTTCCCAGATAGCATGCTTTACCCATAATGCACCGGAGAGAAAACGGCGGAAGGGCTCTCTCCCGCAGCCCTCGGCCGTTGCTGGGAGCCCCTGGGGGCCCGGTTGCTCTGCCTCTGCGGTCCCAGGCGGAGCTCTGGCCTCGGCAGTGGAGCTCCCCGCGTGGACCTGCGCTGCCGTCCCTGGCAGCTCCTCTTCGGAGGCAGGGGAGGAGAGGCCGGAGTACCCTGCACTGTGGCCCCCGCAGCCCTGTCCCTCCCCCAGCACAGCTCCTCTGAATGGGCCCAGAAGCCCTTGCAGGGCAATGAGCTGAAAGGCGGACAGGAGGGGTGCTCCTCCCACCCCGCTAGCAGCAGCCCGCCGGGGCCCCAGAGGCCTCTGCCTCGCACGCTGCAGCCCGCCAGGCCTGACCCTCTCGCACTGCGCATCCTTCCCCAGAGAGCAGAAGGCATGTGCACAAACAGGGCACTTCTCTTTCCAGCCATGGATACCCAGAGGCTGTTTCTCTGTATCCTTCCTGGTTTGCCATCTGTAGTTCGCGTGCCTCTTCAGCGCTGCTCTTCGCTGCCTTAGAAGGAACACTTGGGTGCTGGCAACGGCCGTGGTGTCGTTTGCCTCCTGGGGTGTCGGGGGGAACCCGGTAGTATTGAGGCTCAGAGAAGCTTTCCTTGGCAGGGGTCCAGTGCCACTTCCACCCCCCTTCCCAGTCCGAGCCACAAGCATCCAGTGCAAAGAGGAGATCGGCGTGGCATGCTGACTCGGAAATGCGCTTCACTGTGTGCCCCCCGTCAGCCTTCCCCCTGGTGCCTTCCAGAAGTTTCGGACTTCAGGGCCCAGCATTCTGGGCCTCTGGCTTTGGCCGTTGGAGTCTAAAACACCTGGAATGCATCGGGCTGGAGAAGGTCGGTATGTGTGACTGCCGTCCTTCTTTCCCTGTGCCATGAATACCGGAATGCGGATCTGATTGCAGTGAGTAAAACTGCCTACATCCCCAGGAGTCGAGCCAAGCAGAACGAGTGGCATCGCCTGCGGATCTGCGCAGGCTCGAACGCTACCGGGAGCTGCCTCAGCTTCCCTGGCATTTCACTTATTTATTTGTTTAAAACTTTTTTAGACTGTCCCTTACCGTGGTGTCGGGACAGTTTAACAATAAGACAAAATAGAATAAAACACAGCAGCCCAGTCAAGATCTTAACCAAATGACAATAAAACCCATATTAAAACAATCGAGTCTTAAAACATTGGGAAAATAAAAAGGTTTTGGCCTGGTGCTGAAAAGAATAAAGTGACGGCGCCAGGCGAACCTCTCTGGGGAGCGAATTCCACAATTGGGGCGCCACCACAGAGAAGGCCCTTCTCCGGGTAGCCACCCTCCTGATCTCCTTCATGGGGGGCTCCTGGAGGAGGGCCTCTGCCCCAGATCTTAAGGGGAGGGCAGGCACATGTGGAAGGAGACACTCCTCCTGCTCCCTTTTGCCCCAGCCTCCACGTCTGTGTGCAGGAAAACAGCATTTCTAGCTTGCGAGGAATCTCTCCGCCTAGGGCGGAAGGTGGTCCGTTGTGCCTTTGGGCTGTCGGCACCCACCAGCCCCGTCTGCATCCGTCCAGGTGCTGGCCATGGCAGCGCAAGAACTCTCCCAGCCTGGGCCTGCCAAGTCCAGCCCGCCACCAGCTCCCACGCCCTCCAGCATCCAAGTCCTGCCTGGCCGTGCTGCTGCTCCAGATTGGCGGAAGGTTGTAAACGAAAGGATCAGAAGCAAGACCCGGCGATTTGCCAAGGTGAGAGGCCAGGAAGCCCAGGAGCCCCTGATGCCTGGAGCCAGGGTCTGCTGCAGCCAGAGGACGCATTCCAGGGCACTCAGGGGCTCCTGCCCCTCCCCCATGTATCCAGGGAGGCCACCCCCCCCCCCGGTAATGTTTCCTTGGGAAGCTGCTCGGCGGGGGATTCAGGAAGCTTGAAAGCAGGTGCCTCTTTGCACAGCGCCTCGCGCGACCGTGGATGTCATGCCACAGGGGGCAGTGCTGGCCCCCACCCGGGTGTCTTTCACAGGAGACGGGTCAAATTTGCTGCTGGCCTTGTTGGCTGTGTGCTGCCTCTGTTACCAGCAGCTGTGGGGCAGCTTGGATAGGCGCCGCTCTTGCGGGATCCTGGGGGCAGCTGGGTGGCAGCTGTGTGGGTGGCGTGCTGGGCCGGAGGAGCCATTGGTCCGGCCCACCAAGAACTGGCTCCTGGTTCTTGGAAGGGGCTCTGACGTCAGGGTCACCTATCCTAGGTTACTGGTTAATGTTGGTTTTAACTAATGGTAATGTTTCTAATTAATACCGGCAGTGAAAGGGGGAAAGGGGACTGAATCAGGACCATGGTCCCAGGAGGGGCGAGTTCACTCCTTGCCCTCTTGCCAAAATGGCCTCCTCTTAGCTCCGTGCCCCGTGGGGGGGAATGTGCAGGTGTCATACGGACGAACACGTTTCCTCCGTGGGGAAGTCATCCGTCTCGCGGTGGACAGTCCTGGCGAAAGGTGCAGCACGAACGGCAGCTGCTGCGCCCCCGCTCCGTAGCCCATTCCTTTTTCTCCATCCTGCCCTCCTGAGCTGTGCTCGTTCTTGGGTTTTCAGCGTCATCCCGAGTTACCTTAATCTGTAATGTGTCAAGAGCAGGTGCCTCTTTGCCACAGGCAAGATGGGACCCCCCCCCCCCAGAGAGTCAGCTCAGGCAGGCCCTGCTCTGGGGGCGGGGGATGAGGCGGGGCACCTGTGGCGCCTCCCCCAGGTGCCGGCCAGGTGCGCCTTCCCACTGCTGCCTGTTTCCCGTTGCCTGACGGGTCTCTCCATTTGGAGCAGGGCTGGTCTCAAGCAGAGCTGCCGCACGCCCCCAACCGGTTTGGCCCGGTGGCCGGTCATTTCTTCTTCCCGCTTCTTCAGAAGTTCGACAGGTGAGCCCTCTTGCCCCTTTGGGGCCCTGTGGTGGGGGGGGGGATCTCTCGAGGAGCTGGCCATGGTGGGCTTTGTCATGGGCACAGAGGTGTCAGCTGGAGGCAGCGTCAGATGGGTTCAGCCATACCTGGAGATCTTTTCGAGAAGCCTCAGCCGCAAATCGTTTATGATGCAAGAGGCTGGCTGTGAGCTGGAGATGGCGGCATCCGGTATCCAGGGCTCACTGCGGCTGGGAGCTTAGCTAGATGCCGAAAGAGCAGAAGCACAGCAGGGCGAGATGCTTTGCCTTGGCCACGGGGCGGGCGGGAAAGGGCTGCCAGGGGAGCACCGTGGGAAAGAAAGGGAATTGTCCTTGGAGAGCCATGCCCAGAAAAGCCACTAGGGGTCTCCTGGTCGCCATCGCCCTTGGCAGCAGCGCGTCCTGCCCGAAAGCAAGGCTTGGGGGCCACGCATTCCGGCAGCCGCTGGCCTCCTGGGACGGAGCGCCAGTTGCCTCGCTCTGGGGAGCCGGGCAATGCATACTTCCCCTTTTTGTTCCTGGGGCGTGTGCGTGTGTTTCGTCTTGATGAAATGATTTATACCATGCTCAGTGGAGGATTGGCATTTCAATTGATGCGATAAACCCTGGAACCTTCATTTAGTTCCAACCATCAGGTGGATGTGCGTTTCTCTCTTTCCTGTGAACAGATATATTCTTAACTGTGTGCATGACCCATCCCCAGTCAAGATGTTTGTTCCTGACGCAGACAGTCAGTCTCTCCCCAGGGATGGAGCAGGGAGGAGAACGTGGCATTTTCCACAGTGTGAAAATCACGGGGAGCACGTCTGTCATATAATTAAGGCCACGGAATTGATTTTGAATGTGCAGGATGGGCTTCTTGTATAATTGCAGGCATGCCAGGATTACGGTTTACCCGTATCCTATTTCAATTTATATCCTGCCTTTTTCCTACAAAGGGCTCAAGGCAGGTTACATCATTCTCCTCCTCCATCATATCCCCACAACAACCACCCTGTGAGGTAGGCTGGGCTGAGAGTCTGTGGCTGGCCCAAAGTCACCCAGTTGGCTCCATGGCCGAGCGGGGACTCAAACCCGGATCGCCTGAGTCCCAGTCCCAGCTCTTCACCACGACGCCACCCTGGCAGCTGTGGCCGACTGCACCGAGGAGCGTCCGTTCCTGGCAGCCAGACACGGGCTGATGCGGAGGCAGCCAGCCAGATAGCAGGGTGGGCGGGCAGAGAGCATGGGCAGCTGCATTGAAATGCAGGTTTCCAGCTGGTGCCATGCTTTAAAAGAAGAAGAGGAAGAAGGAAGGAGAGCGCTGCTTAGTCAGAGGGTTCTCTGTGCATTTTTGGAACTGTTTTGGAACTGAAAATACAGCTGAACTGTCAGTCTGTGACCGCTGCGCAGGGCAGTGCTCCGGAGCCCCTCGGTGCAGGTCCCCTGCTGCTGCTGCTGCTGGGATTGCTGCCCTGCCGCTCTCCTCCTGTTTCCTCAAAGAAGACGCTGTTGCTTCTGGATCGGGCCCTCTTCCAGTGTGCCAGGGCCCAGCCTGGCAGGGGGAGCATGAAGGCCCTGCACGGTGGGCCCTGCAGTGAAGAAGGTTCTCCGTCCGTCAGAACCCCTCCTGCTCTGTCTTCCAGGCCTCTGGCCACCTTTGACCTGCTGGGAGATGACCACCTGGTCCTGGGCCGGCTGACACACACCCTGGCCGTTCTGATGTACTTCGCTGTCCACACGCTGGTGAGGATGATGGGAGGAACTTCCACGCCCCAAGTGCTTTGCCAACCCTATTTCAGTGTGCTGCCCTTCAGTTTAGCCTAAAACTTCCAGGGCCGCTTACCCTCTGTGTTCCTTAAATCACTTTATGCCACGTTACGTCCAGTGGCTATTCTACTTGCAGAATGCAGATTTTCAGCTTCCAGAATTTGACAGCCCCAGCTGTTAGGAAGTATTGTCTCCTGTTGTAGTTGAGCCAGTGTTCCTGTTCGCAGCTGCTTAATGCCTGAAAGCAGAGTAGATTCTACCACTAGGAAGAGTGGGAGCGGCTGCCTGTAGGACTATTAAAAGTCACCAAAGTGTCAATTGATTAGCATATGACACTTTTACCTAGACCATTTAGAATTTCCACCTTCGTCTTTCTCTGCTGAAGCCTCTGCATTCGATGCATTTCCTTTGGAACCTTGTTTGTCTTCAGGTAGCGGCTAGAATGGGAAAGGCACTGCTCGAGTTTGTTTGGACTTTGCGCTTCCACACAGACACGTGAGTTTCCCTGATCCCTGGGGTGGGCTTTGGAAAGAGACTAGAGACCCACAATTCAGGAGGCAGTTCAGTTTGCCCTCCTTAGGCCTTCCGTTAATTCAGGGCATAGTCCAGCATATTGAAGGCTGCTTCCTGTCAGGGCGGAGAAAGGGACGAGCCGATTTAGGGAGCTCAGATTAAGGGAGTTCCTCACATCCCAGTGCTCTGTGTTCTCCCTGACTTCATCGATGGCTCAAGCAGAATATAGGTCATTTTGGGGATTTCTAAGCTCTGCAGCTTCTAATCTGACACTCAAGATGCCCCTCACATCACATATGAAAATAACTTGACCCCCCCCCCCTCCTTTTTGGTCTTTCCTGCTCCATGGAGCAGCTGGAAGATGCGGAGTGGGAGAGAGCTCTCTTGAACTAGCTTCTAGTGGAAATCAAGGAATGAGTAGTGCAGAATGAAATTAGCAAAGCAGAGGGTGAAGGCCACGGGCAATGCGCTGGGTGGGTTGCGGGTTCCTTCCTGCTGATTTTGACTTGGGCGTTCCTTCTCTGTGCAGATACGTGCGGCAGGGCCTTCTGTCTTGTATCTCTTCCATACTCCTCAGTGTTCCTGCTGAGCGCCTTCTGGAGGATGCGACGGACGAGCTTCTAGAGACCCAGTCCTGGCTGGCAGGTGGGAAGGGCAGTGTGGAAACTTGGGGGCCACTGGGAATGGGGGTTGTTGTGAATGACTGTGTGATCAGGCTGTGCCGTCTGTCAGGTGCGCCTAATTCTTGAGACTGGTTCTACGTAAGCAGCATTAGTAACTCTCTGTCCTACAGGAAGCTGCTTTGTAAGAACATCCCTGAGCAGCTTTGTGAGAAACAGTAAATCAGAAAGAGAAATAGCAACTCTGCATCCTCTTTTTACACTCTAGGTGCAACTTGTTTCATCAATTTATTTTTAAAGTTCTATATGCCACTTTATTTTCAAAGAGAAACCAAAGAGGCTAACCATTGAAAATGATCCAAACAGTAATACATGCAATAAACAAATATTTATTTATTTATTAAAACATTACTATGCCGCCCCTTGCCGAAGCCTAAATACCTAAACAAAAATAAGCAGAGAGGCAGTAAAAATAGCAGTCAGCAAAAAATGAATGAGTGAGAGCAAGACAGAAAAAAAAACACCTCTTGGGCCAAGAAAGAGACCAGCCAGGTCAGAAGCCTGGTAAAGCAGAAAAGGCTTTGTCTTCTGGCAGAAGGCCAATAGGGAGAGGGCTAAGTGGACCTCCCTGGACAGGCGTTCCAAAGGCTTCAGTGCAGCTGCTGGGAATGCTCTCCCAGTTCTTGCCCCTGTTCTGCTCGTAGTAATGCACAGGCCGTTTCTATGCACTTGTATGGAGCAAGTCATCCTGTCCGAGGGTGGAAGTCTTTTGAAGAGGCGGTCCTGGTGCTGCTGTGTGCTAATGCTCTGCTTGGAAGCCACCAGGCAGAATGCTTTTCCGCCTGAGATTAGGCGTACAGCGTGTTATTTTATTTCCGGCGTTGGCAAAGACTTCTCTTTTCAGGCAAGCATTTCCTGACTATAGAGGACGTTTCAGTCACCCTTTTATCAATGTTTCTGCTTGAATTGTGATTTTTAAAGTTTCAATTAGTTACGCGCTGCTTCCATAGCTCTCCCTGTGGAGCAGTTCATACGTTCCAGGCTGAGTGATGGATTAGGTGACCTGGCTGAAAGCAAGAGGGGTGTGCAGGGGCAAGGGCTGCAGGTTGCCCCCAGCGCTGACCTGGTGCTTGTTGGCGTTGGGCGCCTCCTCGCAGAAGGCTTTTGACAGCTCCGCAGTGAGGTGGTGGTCAGTGTGGGAGGAACCATTTGGCCCGCATTCTCAGCGTGCTGCTTTGGGTCCATGATGCCGTAGCGAATTCGGCTGAGCCACTTTCTGAAGCCTGCCAGGGTTGAGGAAGAAACAGCCCATCTTGAGAGACAGGGAGAAGGCGCAGAGCACGTCTGTGTGCCCTGGAAAGCACAGCTTGCTGCTGCCTGATTCACAACCTGCCGCTGAAGGGGTCGTTTGCGAGGAATTTGCAGGCAGAAACAGCACTATATAGGTTCCGATGCCTGCTTGTTGCTGCCCTTGGTTGGTCTCCTTTACCATACCGAAAAGGGAAAGCGAGCTTCCCGTGGGAGCTGGTGAGGAAGCAGCATGGACACAGCCCGTCTCTGATCCCTGCATGGGGAGCCAACACACAGTGCCCTTGAAAGGAAAAGGAGCTGCCGTGGAAGCCACAAACTGCCCGTTTCCCATGACCTGGATGGTGTGCCTGGAGGAGCCGGCCTTCCCTCCTCCGCTGTCCCTGCTCTCAAGCAGTCAGCCTCATCAAAAATGCCTCTGCGGACTCGAGGCTGGGCTGAAAGGAGCAAGGGCAGGACTGGTTTCATCCAATCTAGCTCAGTGAGCCATATTTAAAACTAAAGTCTCATGTCTTAGGAAGTTTAATTTTGGAATGTGGGTAGTATGAGGTTTTTTTATTACAGTTGAGATGAAAATGGGCAAATCTTTGCTTAGTGGAGAAGAACCCCTTTGAAAACACTGTTGGCACATCTTAAAACGGCTCTGCAGCTATGAGGACTAGAACCTTTGAAAATGAAGTTGGTCCAAACTAGAGCAAGTTGGCTTGTGAGCAACAAGTTGTCCGTCTCATGACAGAGTGGATGTGCACGGAAGGGAAAGGCAGAAGACAATTCCATTGATTTATGCAGTCATAGAATAGACGCTGGGGTTTTTGTTTATTCTAGTGAGCTATCCATCCATTTCCTTCGCTGTCTCTCCGCAGCCGCCTTGGCTTTTTGGGAGTCTTTGTCCCGCGGGGGCCGCTGCTGCTGTGAAGCATTGTGGCCTGCAGGCTTTCCTCTGTGCGGAGCATATGATGCATTTCTGAAACCTCCTGTCATTTTATAAATAGCGCAAGGTCATTGGAATGAGTCATGTAGCCAGGCTGACCCAGGGCTGGACTTTGAGCACTCTGCTTGTGCGCACAGGATATCCTCTGACAGACTCGCGGCTCTTTTGGACTCCCCCCTGCCCTGACATCCTGATTTCTACTTTGCAAGCCTGTGAAGAATCAGGTTCCCTTCCCACACCCCCTGGCATGGCTCCACTTAACAGCTGTCTGAGAAGTAGAAATTCAGCAAGGTGAGACTTGCTCCATCATACGAACGGTATGCTGAGAAAAAGGCCTTGCCTGCTGGATTTCTCATCCCGTATGTACAGCTGTTTCAGGTGCAGAATGGTGCCGTAATAGTTCTGGCGATCTGTTAACATGCTGTGGATCTGCTGCAGAACACAGTGGCTACCTGTCCGTAGGGCAAAGTAAAGGAGTACCTGCACTTTTGCTTTCCAAGCTGGCCAAGCAGGTATGAACTAGTGAAAAGGTGCTTTGGGGCTCCTGTTGCTCCTCCACTTTGCACCTGGGTGCTCTGCATTCACACAAGGGCAGGCACATCTGAGATGGCCCGTAATGACAGTTTTGTGGAAAATTGTGGAATTCATCATTTTATTTATTTAATTTATTTTTTGATTTATATCCTGCCTTTTTTCTACAAAGGGCTCAAGGCAGCTTACATCATTCTCCAACTCCATCTTATCCCCACAACAACAACCCTGTGAGGTAGGTTGGGCTGAGAGTCTGTGACTGGCCCAAAGTCACCCAGTTGGCTCCATGGCTGAGCGGGGACTAGAACCCAGATCGTCTGAGTCCCAGTCCCATGCTCTTCACCACCCCACCACACTGGCTCAGCAAATTTTATGCAAAACTTTTTTTTAGCTTGGTAGGTCATATCAGAAGAAAGCTTTAGATGTTTCATTTAAAACTGCCTTGTACCTGGTGCTTAAACAGAACCTGAAAATCCTAAGCCTAAGAACAAGCAGCTTCTAGTAACTCCTCTTTGTTTAGTGGTAAAACCTTCCAAGTTGTTCTTGCTCCTGTGGTTAGAAAAAGCAACGGACAGCTACAGTTTGTCACCTGTACTCTGAGGTTAGCTCAGAGGTTACACTGGAACTATGCTATGTAAAAGAAGTGTTGCTAAATAAAGTTTGGGCTACAATCAAACAAGCTGGATATTTGGAGATTCAGGGAGGGGATAACTTCCTTTTATTGTTTCTTTACTGAAGCACACTGGACAGTTCAGCTAATGCTTCACAGGAATTTCCTCAAGCCATTTTTTCCTTCTCTCCTCTTGTCTCTCTCTTCCTATTTTCTGCAGATGTCACAGAGAAGGACCCAGATGGTGACTGCAGAAGTTTGGCGCTGCAGAATTTGCTGCTGATGGAAAACCTGAAAAAAAAGCTTGAAGGGGCTCCTTTCTAGCAAAGGCGGGCTCAGCAGCTTCCGTGTTCCGTGGCCACTGGCCCACTTTTGGGTCAGACTCTCTCCCCCCGTTGCCGCTTGGACCAAGGAGGGAGTAGGGAACCGAGTGGCAAGCTGCACAGCAGCTGGGCTTGCTAGCAGAGGGCGGTTGGGCTGCCGTGGCTGTACTGATGGGAATGTCAACACACTCTTCCCTATTGTGCTCTCTCGTGGCTATTTATGGCTTTGGCAGGCATGCGAAAGGTACAGAGCAGAGTCGTGTGGTGTTTGCTATCCTCAGGAAAAAACACTGGGAAATGAAGTGGGTTTGCTTCGTGTCCCTAAGCCATCCTTTTCCTTGGATACTTTTCTGAGTTTCTTGACTTGGCAAACCTAGAATGGATGCTGTAAATGTACTAGGGCTTTAATCAGAAATATAGTCTACCTCTACTTTGGCCCAGATTCCCACCCAAACTTTTCCCAAGCAGTGCCAACACTTAACTTGGGAAATATATTCAGTGAGGATACCTATGGCAACCTCTGCAAATGAACCAGCATCACACGTGATGACCCCAGGGCATTCAGGAGCTGGTTCATTGATGTATGATGTGTGCAAAATCGTTAATAAAGGCTAAGATATGACAACCATGAATCAAAAATTTGGGTGTAGGCCAGTTCCTAGTAATATAATGGCCAGTTTCATCCAAACTTAGGTTGATACAATGTAGATTCTGCAACCTAGTATATGTCATGGTGGCAAATTTGGTGAGTTAACTCACTGTTCACTGGGAAGTGTGGAGAATGCATGCTGTATTGCTAAAGATGGATATTTGTTTCTGGGTTAATAACCCCTTGTATGTAGGTTCAGACGTGATGTGAACAACTTGGGAAGGGTTTATGTGCTGCTCATGCACACCATGCTGCTGTGATGTATGAACACACATTTCCTAACGTTGTCTCTGCTGGACAGTCACCTTGCTTTCATAGGGCTTCGTGAAGGACAGTAATAGCCAAAGGCTGGTGGGATTCCGGAGTGAATTGATTAGGTTTGATAAAATGGCTTGAAAGTACAGGCAACCCAGTGTAAGATCCACACAAAGTCAGGTTGCTTGCTTGTAGCTGTCTTGTCCTTGAGTGTTCGTTTGTGCATTCATACATATGGGCCTCTGCCCCTGTGGGGCCTGAAGTTGAGAAGGTTTCCTAGCTGGACTTCCTTTGGTGGGAAGCCGTTCCCTTCCACCGCATTTTAGAGGGGTTCTGACCCACTTGCTCAATTTTGTGGAGACCAACATTGTGGCCTCGGAACCAAGGGCAGGTTAGTGAATGGCCATCCTCGGACCCAAGGACTATGAGATCAGTGACTTGCAGTGTCAGAGCCGACTGGCACCACTATGTGGTTAGAGAGGGAGCTGCGAGGACTGGCCTGCCAAAGGAGCAGTCTTGTCTAGCACAAATGTCGAGCTGGAAAGGACCGGCAGCTGTCGCTGGGACAGACCGTCTTGCCGCTGTGCAGTGCTCTTGAAGTGACCTCGGCTGTGACGGAGTGAGTGCTGGGCCATTCAGGGAGTGAGTGTGATGGTCCCAGCCAGCCAGCGTGCAAGCCATTGTGGGGACAGGCTTCCCTCTGGCCTCTCGGAGTAGCAAAAGGAAGTCTCTGGGAATAACGAAAGGATTCCGTTTGAAGGCAAGTGCCCTGTGCGCATCCACTGTGTGCAGGGCGGATTCCATCATGTGCGATGGCACAGTGAAGGCGGCCAGCAGGTGAGGGCCTGGTTAGGGTGGGATGATGGCGCGCCTCTGGGAGGCATGAGGGGCTGGACACAAGGCTGCCTTATCTCGGAAAAGCGAGGTAGGGTTGGGCAGTGCGGAGCACCCTGAGTTTGCTGGCCTTTGGAAAGCTATGGAAAGAAGCTGGGCTCTGTTGTGGCCGGTGGACTGAAGGGCTGTTTCGCTAGAGCTTGCAGAATGCGCACGATGCTCCAGCTCAGAATGAAACACTGGACTTTCAGCAGGACGTTTTGTAGTCCTTTGAAGAGCTGATGGGGCAGAGGAGGTGCGAAGACAGCTGGACCTTGGATTTGTGAGTGGAGTGAGATCACTGCCAAGTGGAACTTTGCAGAAGATGGTGGCAAAGGGAGAGCAGGAAGTCAAGGGTCTGATGGAGGGATGCCTGGCGAGCATTGAAGGATTCTAGCTGGGTGAAGGCAGAGAAGGCGTTTCCCTTCACTGCATACGGTCACTTGGGGATGCTCTCAGTGCTGCATCCAGGATCCCCTGTACGTCTGGATGAAGAGCTGTGCCTAGTCTACTGGACAGTCTTCCATGCTGTGAAGCATAGGGTGTTGATGTAAGGATGGAGGCGCATTCGTGAGAGACGACACTCATGTTTGATGGATGGCAGGTTGAATGCCTTGTTGGACAGCTGGAGAAGGTATGTGAACCATGACTGGGGGACCACCACCGAGTAAGGAGGATGCAGGTGGTCTTGGCCATATGGATCTTCACCAGGAATCTGATGGCGAGCAGGAATGGTGAGAAGAGATGGAACATTGAGTCCGTAGTGGTCCTGACCTGGGAACAGCAGCTCTTGAGATTGTGTTGTTCTCAGTCGTGAAGAAGTCTAGCAAAGTTCTGAGAGGATCCTGGGATCCATCTGCTCTGCCTGCTGAAGGAGTCTACCATCAGGTTGACCATCCTAGCTCAGCCAACCATGGACAGTGGTGGGAGTGATGCATTTGTCAGTGCAGCGGTTACAAATGTGCATGGTGAGAGACACTAGGTTGATGGACCTGGCGCCCCCTTGTGTAGGGAGAACACCATGGCAGTATTGTCTGTGGCGATCTGAACAATAGTGGTCCTGAAGGACCGGTTGGAAAGTGACAAGGAATGGGGTTGCTTTCTCCTGGACGTGGTTCATCCCCTCTAGCTGTTTGTATGTTGGAGCTACCTGTGCTGGTGTCTTCTAATTCACCTTCATAGAATTCAGGAGAGCCTGCAGGAAGGGCATCAACATCAGCGCCGCGACCTCCGTTCCGGGGGTGTGGAAGACTGGATCTGCGGCTTTCTCAATGTGCTGCTGCGCCTTAAGTCCAAGTGAGGGTGCCAGCCAGAAGCTTTGCTCAGAGAAGCACCCCATGTCCTCAGAGGGGGCGCCCATCTCCTGCCACATGATGAACACATCTAGCAAAGAGGTGAGTGGGCTGTCAAATGGGGCTGAGTCTGGGTTGGTTCTCTGGGACCAAGGAAGCTGAGTTGAGCCTCTGCTGTGAGATGGGGGCAGGGAGCAGGCATGGTGGTAATGGAGGGCAAGCTAGTGTTGCTGATGCCCTGCTGTGCCCTCTCCCTGGCCTCCTGGGTAGTCGTCGTATGTTTAGTGAGGCCTGGGAGAGTGGACAGACACCCACACAGCACCCTCTCCTGGGCAGAAGCAGCACAGCAAGGGGCCATCTGTCGGGAGCAACTTGCTCTTGCAAGGGATGTATTTCTGAAATGATGCCAGAAAAGGAGAAGGAAGAAGATGAGAGAGTGTGTTGAGGACGGGAAGAGCGACAACAACTGAAGGGCTTTTAATGTTTTCTATTTTTCAACAGGGGTGGATTTTGGTAAAAAGGTAAAGTAGGAAGAACTAGAATTGGAGAAGATAGCTACGAAAGCAGAGAACAAGTCAGGGAAAGGCAATTACCAACTGAAAGAGGAAAGTCCCAAGACACCCCTAATGGCGGTCAGAAAAGAGTTGAGGAAGTGGGTGAGAACTTCTCCCAGATATACCTGGGGGGGGGAGGGGGGCTTGGCTCCCACAAAACGAATCTAGCTAGGAAATCCTCCCAGGCACAGAGCCCGTATGTGTGAATGCACAGAAACACGAAGAATAATGGAGTCTGCCATGAGCAGATGTGGCTTCCCCTGCACCTGATCGTGCCAGACTCCAGCAGTGTGCAGAAGTGCAGAGTCTCTCTGTGCTGAATGAGTCAGAAGAGCCACTCTGCAGTGTGGCCGTCCCCAGCACGCTTTTGCAATGGTCTGATCACACCAGCAGCTGTTCAGGCTGCAGGTCATGAAACCTCATCTGGACTGGTTTATAGCATCCTTGCCCCAGTCCTAAAGTAAAACAGCATGAAGTGAGTTAAGACGTGTGTTACTAAAATGTTTAATAAAAATATTAAAATATATCTGAATATGAAATGTTTTTTGCTGAACAATTACATCTGAAACTATCTTATGACATGCCACAAGACGCACAAAGCCTCAACCGTTTGGCCCGTGCACCCCAATTGTATTGAACAAGCTATTAAAGAGCCAAGCAAATTGGCTTATTGCCCCTAATAAAACAAAGCTAGCTAATCTCCCAGCTTTCTGTTAGCAATACAGGAAGAGCAGTGCCATCTCACAAAGGCAGAGCTGTGTTAGGAAGGCTCTGCCTCGTCAGCCACCTCCTCTTCCACTTCCTTGTCCTCCATGCTGTTGTGGCGGACTCTCTCTGGGGCCGGGTTTCGGCTCAGGGGAATGCCCAGTCCTCTGTGAACTGCCTCCACAGTCTGCTGGGTCACATAGTAATTCAGGTTCACACATGGAATTTTCTTCCGCATCTCTTCTAGGTACCGGTATGCCTAGGGAGAAGAAAGGGTTTCGTGGTCAACAGCCCTCATCAGTCCCACTCCAAATAAATCTAGAGTTCGATGTTCAAGTGGATCAGCACCAGCAAGCTATTTTAAATTCTGGCCTTAAACCATGGTCCACTTGCACTGGGATACAGCAGTCAATAACTTCAGCCTGAGTTGTTTTTGGGAGTTGCCGGCACCGGACTGAACCACCTGACGAAAGCAGATGCCAGCCCTTCTTGTTCCACTTAAAATTATTCTGCAAATCAAGGCTAGACAGGCAAGCTGCTGTGCTGTGCTTCAGATCCCATCAGCTCCAGTTGGCAGGGGCAGGAATATGGGAGGTGCAGTCCAACATCTGGAGGAGCAAAAGTGCCCCACTCTAGGACTAAGGAGTTTCTGATTAGCTGAATGAAAGCAGAAGTGTTGTGCTTCACATTTGCTCTGCGGGAAATGGCTCACTTTTGTAAGTTACATGATTCCTGCTCACCCTGTTCAGACAGCCAGCATCTGCATTAAATGGGTGGAGGCTGAGAGATGTGGGGTGTGATCCTGTGGCCATGGGAACAGACGGAGTCCTGGCTGCAGTCTCCGATGTAGCAGTGAGCAGTCTGTCTTTGGAAGGCCTCCCACCACTGCAGCTGCAGCGGTCCATTCGCACCTGCGGCAGCACAGGGTGAGCTCTGTGAAGCACCCGGTCAGTGCCTCAGCCCCTCTGCCTGGAGCGACCGGCCACCACACTGGTTTGGAGGGCCAGAGAGGTGGAGGCAGTCCTGGCTTCTGTGCGCCTTCCACAGCGTGTGGCTGCCCGCAACCTCCTGCTTCCAGAGGGTTATGGGCAACCACACAAGATGGCACCCTTGGTCCTCTGACGCGCTGTCGACAGTTTGCCCTATTTGACTCTGAACTGAAAAAAGGCTAAAGGTTTATTTTCAACAAACAGTGCAGGCAGATAGCCCAGAACTATTTGCAGCAATATCAGCCAAGGCTTCCGCTAGCACTGCCACTGCTAATTGTCTTGTGCCCATCTAGCTGCCTATTGGATTTGCTAAGAGATTTATTTTTAATGCAGCCCCTTTTTTCATGAACTCCGGGTGACTGGAGAACACCTGGCTGTTCCAGAACAGCAGTTCCTCTCTGCCCAGGGCCTAGGCGTCTGTCTTCCCTATTTTACACCGGGCCAGTCTGACATTTCCTGCTTCAAGCAAGTGAATCATCTCATCTCCAGATGGCTCACATAATGGTTTCCTCTGCTTTCCTCCCCACCCCCTTCGGTGCACCAGGTGGTAGTGGGTTAGGGCACCAAGATACTGAAGAAAACTATCTCCTGATCACCATACTTTAAATGTATCCCATTGTCCCCCACCCACTTCCATAGTCTGTCCAGATCTTTCTGGATCCGGAGTACCTGCTCCTCAGCTGCGGCCACTGCCCCCATTTTAGCATCGCCTGCAAATGTGATCAGCAGACTGGTCACCCCCCCCCCCTCCAGGTCACTGATGACAAGGATTGGTCCTAGGACAGAGCCTTGGGGGACTCCACTCATCACCATCCACCATCCCGATTATGCCCCACTAATGGTTACCCTCTGCTTTCAGTCCTTCAATCATGCCCTAATCCAGACAGTGCACCAGTCTCTCCCGAAGCTCATCAATTTCTCCACCAGGATATCATGGGGCACTTTGTCAAAGGCCTTGCTGAAATCCAGGTAAGCCACCTCCACCGTGTCCCTCCGCCTAGCCACCTTGGAAACCCGTCACAGAATTCTACAAGGTTCCTCTGACGGGACCCGTTTCAGCGGAAGCCGTGTTGCACGGCCACCGACCCTCCTTCCCTATCCAGGGTTCCTAGAGCTTTCCCCATGATGAGCCTGACCACTGTCTTCCCTAGGACGGACTAACTGGCCTGTAATTCCCTCTACTGCCATTTTGAAGAGTGGGCATGAACGAGCCCATGAAAAGGTCAGTCAAAGTGCAAAAGGAAGGTGTGCATGGCTGACTACCGAAATGTACAGAGCACGCGTTTGAGGGACATGTCTCTTCCCACCCTAGGTAGCTTTTTTCCTAGGGTTGGTTTGCATGTTTTCGCCCCTTGGGAAGCATTCAGTGATGTGGCCCTTTTGCTCACATAGACCAATCCCCGTGGTGGAATACTCTCCCAAGGGCAAACCGCTGCATGAGCAGAGTCGCTTCGTGCCTGCATTCTGCACTAGGGAGCCCTGAAAAAGCCAGCACTGCTCACCATCTGGAATTCCTGCGCCATCAGGTGGTGCTCCACGAGGAAGCCCAGGACGTCCCCCAGACGGACGGCACTCTCAAGCTCTGGCTCTCCCAGCAGCAGCTCGCACTGCCTGGCTGCTTCCTTGGGGTCCTCGGCATAAAGTCTAGGATGCAACAATATGTCAGACACAATATGGGGCAAAGGCTTCTCTGGAGGTCTCCATGATCTCTGCTTTGCTGCTATGGCAGCCTGCTCCATCGCTCAGCAAGATTCCACTGCGAACCCCTTGCAGGTACCCATGGTGCGGGTACGGAGGCAGCTGTGAAAGCAATCTCCGACTGCGATGAGGGGGACTGGCTTTCCGGTCTGAGCTAGAGGAGATTCTGCACAGTCCTGATCCTTCCTACTTACGCTGGTCATGAAGCAGCCTCCCCCTTCCCAGGGAAGGACTGTGCTGGCTGGCGTGTCAGCCACTTCTCCAGAGTAGACTACAAAACCTTAAAATAAAAAGTTCCCCGCCCCCACAAAACATTTACTAAGCAACGAGCTGTTGCTTGAAATGGTTGGCGACTGTACTGCTCCTGCAAGGACTATGCATGGTTCTGATCGTGCCTTCTCCCCAGAGGAGTGCTGTGGACTGCACTGCTGGGGGACCCCGCACCGCGGTGAGGTGGCAGCGTAGCCTGCACACCGCTTTCAGAGATACTTTCCCGAGCCAGAGGAGGCCAGGACGCTTCCGACGAGGCAGGCGCTCTAGCCCCTGTTCCCTGCATACATGGGGCCCCGCCACCTCCTCACCTTCGGGCCTGAATAAACCTCTTCACCATGGCCATCTTGCTGTGCAAGAGTGCAAGCTTGCTCTCTTGCTCCACTGGACTCCGCGTCTTCGCCTTTGACAGGCACTTGTATGCTTCTGTCAGGGCTCCAAGGGCCTTCTCGTAGTTCTGGTACTCGTCTACCTCCACCTGGGGGAAGGGAAATGCGTTGGCTTCTGCTTTCTCTCTCGTGCAACCTAAACTGTGCCTGAGAAATGGCCACACACCTGAGCACAAGCATCGTAAAAGCCAGCCAAGAGATCCAGAGCTCTCCCCTTGGTGTAGAAGCTGATGATGTTCTTCATGATCTCTGGGTCCTTTCGCCAGTCCAGGGACTGGAGGTAGTTGGCAGCCATGATATAAATCTCCCTCTGCTTGGACACTCCGGCAAAGAAAACAATTTTCTCGGTGTCTCCGGATTTCAGCAGTGCTCTCATAGCCTGAAAACAAGGAGCAGGCCTTGTAACCTCTGGTCACTACAGGCCAGTGCCGAATTACACATGTTCCAATCCCACACACATAGCAAAGCTTCTCCAAGCCCTAAACCCTTGAGATGGAAAAAATTAGAGGGTATGTTGAACTGGGCCCAGAAGCAAGTAAGAAGTCAGGAAGATGAGGAAGAACCACGAGTAACATATTCCCTGCCTCTCTCTCGGGAGGTGATGAGCCATGGCATTCTGCATTCGCTTATCTGAGCTGTCCTTCACGGTGGCTTTGTGTTGACTGCATTGGCCTCCAAAGGCATGGATCCAAGCCTCTAATTTTAGAAGCTGTGTGTCTCAGAGCCCTAAGCTGCTGGAGAGCAACAGATGGGGAAGGCAACTGGCTCTGTGCCCTGTTGGTGATCTTCCCAGAGACATGTGAAATCAAAGAATCATAGAAGAGCTGGAAGGGGCCATGAAGGCCAACAACCCCCTGCTGCTGCAGGGCACCAAGTCACACCATCCCTCTCAGAGGGCTGCCCAGTTTTGCCTTGAATGTCTCTAACATGGGAGAGCCCACGGCCTCTCCGGGCAACTGGTTCCACTGCTGCATTGCTCTGACAGTGAGGAAGCTTCTCCTGAATTCTAGCCTGAAGATGATATAGTTGGCCAATGCAGGAAGCAGGATACAGACCTTTGGGCTGCTCCAGCAGGGCCTTGTCAGTCAAAGCTCCTCTGCCACCAGCAGCCAGACGCTAGTCTCTCTGAACAACAGGAGCTTGTGTGCGTTTTTCCGCTGAGCCCACCCAAGCAGCCAGGGCACTTACTTTCAGCTTGTTTCCTGCCTGGGTGTATTTCTTGGTGGCCATGTGGTAGTTGCCCTGCCGCATGCAGCAGTCGGCTATCTGCTCCAGGAGCTCCCGGCGGGAGTCTTCTGGAAGCTCCTTCGAGTCCTTTGAAATGGTCATCTTCTCGGCCATCTCCTCAGTGATGGTCAGGTTCTGCGTCAGGCAGAGCTGCAGGGCATCCTGGTACTGCAGCAGAGAAAGAGCGGCGGTGAAAAAGAGCGAGGGAAAGAGGCGCTTGCCAAAAAAAGCTCCTTGAAGAACAGGGAGAGGGAGGAGCAAAAGGAAACAGGATCGTCCGACCTACCATGTTTGAGCAGAGTTTTGGCAACAGCACATGCAAGATTTAGTCCACAAGAGATTTTTAAAACATTCCTCAACCACAATAACCAGTTTGGGGATTTCGGGGAGAATATCTGCGTGAGACTGTCATTTGCAGAAATTCGGATTTACCTTTTTGGCAGCTAGCAAAAGCTCAACGGCCTTCTCATACTGGGCGTGCTCAATAAAGAAGTCCGAGCAACGAGCCAGCAAGGCGGGGTCCGACTTCTCATCCAGATCCTCAGCGATGAGCTGCAGGGCCGCAAACTGCTGCGTGGCAAAGGCCAGCTCCAGCGCTTTGGAGAGGTGTCCTGCCTGAAAAAGGAGACAAGAGGCTTCAGCTTCTGGCACACAGAATAATGGAGAACGGAGAGAAGAATTCCCAGTTGCACAGGGCAGAATTTAGATACTTTGCCCACCTCCATCCCCTGGCCAAGGAAGTCTGACTCGGAGGTGCCGAAATCCCTTTTCCACCTTGGAAATCCCTTTGCTCACCTTGTGGTACAGCATCACTGCCCTGTCCATTTGTTCGCCCTTCCCTTCGTAATAGCGTGCAGCTTCGATCATGTCTTCTGGTGAACTGAGGAGAGCCAGGTTCATCAGCTGGTCATCCAGGTTGTTCTCCTGTTCCAAATATTAAGAAGCACCTTCAAGTCAACGTTAGTCCTGGCTGCTTTCCAGAGCCTCCCTTCCCTGAGCGCTGCTTATAATGACAGGTAGAGATGGCAGCATCAGAAGAAAACGTCTAAACATTTTCATAGTAGCCACTGTCTTTTAAAAAGCATAGTAACATTGCTTGGTTACTATTTTATATATTTAAACTCCACATACTTTTACTATTTAACTCCACATATTTAGAGTTCCAAAGCCCTCACTGGTGCTACAGAACCATCTTGTATTGCTTTCAAAAGGTTATGCAAATGCTTAAACACTTTTAAAAACAGTGGTTAGCTTTTTGACAATAAATTTCTTCCTGTGAAAACTTGTAATGCCCTCTTATCACTGCAGTTCTCTCTCAACACATATCTTTGGTAGCCATAATACACTCCTGAATTGGGAGCAGAAGCATGAAACCAGCAAATGTACTTGAGATAAATTCCATCTTCCTTGATGGTAGATCAAAAAATCCTGGGCATTTTGGTGGATGGGCAGTTAAGACATTTTACATGATACTCATTTATTACACAGATGTCCCCTCTTTCCTCTGTGGAACTCAAGAGCTTCTGAGATGCTTTCCCATTTGGGCACCCAGACCCGCTCAGCTTCAGCAAGAGGACTGCATCACATACCATCAAATCATACTTGAGAAATAATAATTTTTTACAATGATAGCTGGTAAAGAACATCTGTTTTGTAGGAGACCAAAGAATGTTTGCAGGCCATTGGTTACAAAGGACACAGATGTTTGCCTCCACTGCCAGAAAAGCACCTTTGCTCAGCATAGGCAGCAAGGGTGGTTGTGGTTGTGAGGAAAAAAGCAATTCTCTGCCTGTCGCAGCCACCAAGCTCCAATAATGAAAGAGGATGCATGTCTGTCTGTCAGAGCCATAGTACCAAGGCCATGAAAACAAGATACTTGAAACTCAGTAGAGTCCAAAAGGGCCCTAGGGGTTATAATCTGAAAGCTATTCCACTTTTAAAATGCACTAATCAATGTTAAGTGATATAAAATGGTCAGTGTGTTGGATGCTTAAAGTACCAATACCAGTGACCAGCTTTTCAGTCAATACAATTTGAAGCCAGCGAGGAACAGTCTAAGAACAGAGTTAGATGGCGACCCACCAGCCTGCCCACTCCCTGCTGCGGGGCAGCCCTCCCTCAGAGGAATGGCATAGGCAGACGCCTTCCTTGGGAAGCTCTAACAGCTGTCCTGTATCAAATTAAGGTCTGTTCTATCATGTTAAAATTCAGGTCAGTTTGCTAGTACTTTAATCAAAGATATGAGCAGAACAACCGCACACGTTCAAGAGTTCTGTCCAGATCCACAGGTTAAACAAGCTGAAAGAATCCGAAAGCACCAGAAGGAAAGTAGTGGGGATTTGCATTTGCTGTTTGGAATCTCTGAGTTTCGGTTTTTTCTCCTTTAAATTGTAGCACCCTCCAAGTCAGTTCTCCGAGGTATAGTGCTATGATAGTGTTGTTATATTATATTTGTAAGCCGCCCTGAGGCTTCGGCGAATGGGGCGGCATAAAAATGGTTAAATAAATAAATAAATAAATAAATAAATAAATAAATATTAGTGACAGATTTTTTTTTCCTGGGCTCCAAGATCACCACAGATGAGGACTGCAGCCAAGAAATTAAAAGATGCTTGCTCCTTGGGAGGAAAGCTATGGCAAATCTAGACAGCATCCTAAAACGCAGAGGCATCACCCTGCCGACAAAAGTGTGTATAGTCAAGGCTGTGGTTTTTCCCAGTTGCAATGTATGGCTGTGAAAGCTGGACCATAAGGAAGGCTGAGCGCTGAAGGGATTGAGGCCTTTGAATTGTGGTGCTGGAGGAGACCCCTACGAGTCCCTTGGACTGCAGGGCGATCAAACCGGTCAGTCCTAGAGGAGATCAACCCTGACTGCTCTTTAGAAGGCCAGATCCTGAAGATGAAACTCTCATACTCTGGCCACCTAATGAGAAGGAAGGACTCCCTGGAGAAGAGCCTGATGCTGGGAATGATTGAGGGCAAAAGGGGAAGGGGAGGGCAGAGGATGAGGTGGCTGGATGGGGTCACTGAAGCAGTCGGCGTGAGCTTAAGTGGACTCTGGGGGATGGTGGAGGACAGGGAGGCCTGGAGGAAGGTTGTCCACGGGTCTTGGTGGATCGGACACGACTTTGCGACTAACAACAACAACAAGTGTTATTAAAGGATGCAGCAAAGCAAATGCTGCCTACCTTACACAACCGAATAGCATTGTTAAACGCCTGGGCTCTGGTGTAGAAGTGCACGGCTTGCTTGATGTCGTCATGGCTCTCATACTGACGGGCGACATGATATGAAGCTGCCCAGTTACCGGTTGCATTGGCTATCTCAGCCGCCTAAAATGAAACGAGAGAGAAACTGGGCTATGCTATAAAAGGGCTGCCTTTGCTGGGGAAACTTAGGAAGAAACAAGCTTACCTTCTGGATGTTACCTAGGAAACAGTGAATACGGACCATAGAAAAATAATCCTGGGCTAGTTCATAATATCTGAAGGCAGCTTCCATGTCAGCCTGACCTTCCAGGTACTGCGCCCACCACTTCCATAAGTCCCTGGAAAAGGGTAACAATAAAGCATTTCTCAATCAATTGTATTTGAATAAAGGTAAAGGTAAAGGTTTCCCCTTGACGTGAAGTCCACTCATGCCTGACTCTAGGGGACGGTGCTCATCTCCGTTTCCCAGCCGAGGGAGCCAGCGTTTGTCCGCAGTCTCCATGGTCATGTGGCCGGCATGACTATACACCGAAGTGCACAGAGCGCTGTTTTGAATAAATCGCTCCAATAAAACTCCCTGAAGCAGCTAGCTACATTCTACTATAGGAAAGAGTCATCACTAAATTCAGAAAAAATATTAGAAAACTCTATTAGCAGTCACTGTCAATTAAGCATAAAAAACAAGCAGAACCGAGAAGTTTTAAAGTTAACCATTAACCTTTAAGCTTAACTCAAATACCCTAACCCTAACCTTTGCCAGGTGTCAAAATACCAGTCATGGAAGAAATGGGGATAAATCTTCCTTGACATGCAGTTCTGTAATCTCAGGTTCCACTACAGGGAAGGCCCTGTCCTGAATAACCATCAGCCACAGTTCAAATCATGGAGAACATGGAGCAGAGATCTCAAGGAAGATATTAATGAACCAGGTAGATTTGTTTGGAAAAATGCAGTTCTTAATAGATTCTGGGCCTAGACCAGCTTTCCCCAAGCTGGTACCCTCTGGACATTTGGGACTTCCTCTCCCATCAGTATGGTCAGCAATGCTGGAAGTTATGCCATAGGTAGGAAAAAGCTGGTCTGGACATAGTGTAGGCAACTTCTTGGATTCTGATATTTTGGTCTATAGCAGTGGAGAGCCCTCTCTGTCGGCACGTGAGCCAAGTCACCCCACCATCACCCCAGCAGCCGAGCATCGGATAACAGCGCATAGAGGGGCCATGCGCATGCTCGGAAAGGAGTCGTGGTGCCAGGCAATGACATCACAAGCCACGACTCATTAGCCGCGACTCATCCGAGCTTTTGCATGGCCGGTCAGTGCACTGCCAAGGGTGTGGGTGTGGGTGTGTGTATTTTCTTGAACAGGCTGCAAGGTGTTTTTTTCTAAACTAAAACCTCTGTTTTCAGGTTTTATTGCAGTGTTGGCACTTTGCGATAAATAAGTGGGTTTTGGGTTGCAGTTGGTCCCTAAATGGTTCATCATCACTGGTCTATAGCTTCCATGATTCCTCCCTATTGGCTATTTTGGTTAGGAGTAATGATTATCCATTGCACCGCTTCCTTCTTTTGCTTCATAACCTCTCAGTTTCCCATATACATTTTTGTGTTTTACCATTCTTCCTGTAGTCCATAAGACTGCAAGCCTAACATAATTCAGCTCAATTCAGAGAATCATGAGGTGCGATTTGCCTCTGTCTGGATGTTTAGGATTAGGATAAGCAATCCCAATAAGAAAAATAAGCAAACCCAATACAAATCAGGACACTTAGTTTTCTGTAATAGAATAGTTTAAGACTATTCAGTCTTCCCCAACCTTGTGCCTTCAGACACATTTGGACTACAGCACCCAGAATTCCCATTCAATGGCTCTGCTGGATGGGAATTCTGGAGTTGTGGTCCAAATGCTTCTGAAGGCCACCAGCTGGAAAAGGCTGGTTTAAGATGAAAACTACCTGTCATCCTCATGCATTGAGGCATCTGTCAGTTTATCTGCCCCCCAACTTCTGAAGCTGAGATGTATCTACGACCAAGGAAGTTTCAGAGAAGTGGGATCTACAAGGAGGGGTTCACGCCAAAGTTAAGACATTTCAGAGCCTGCTTGCCATTTTACTGCTCCATGCTATACATGACCCAGATATAGTCATCACCCCTTGATTCAGTGGTCAAGGCTGGTGGGGATGTCGGTGCCCGAGTGGGGCATGGCCTGCTTCATATGAGATAAAGCAGTTCTAGCACTACATTCGGGTAGAGCGAGCAGACAGCCAAATGTGTGTTTTATAATCAGAGTCTCTGTCCAGCAGGCTTCTGGCATTCCGTAGGGTATGAGAAATCAGAAGACCACTTAGCAGAGTTGCTGGCTATGGAATGGCGTAACACCGTAAGGGTAATATGTCTTAAACAAACCAGCCAAGCTGTCCAATCCTTTTCATCCAGCTTTTTATACACAAGTTTTAGCTCAGGGACTCGCAGGTGCTGGCACAGAAATGCATGCAAGACAATGGTTCTGGCATCAGGCTTACAAGCTAAAAGGCACGACAGAAGGGAAGGATGCCAGAACCAAGTGGAGAACTATCTGCAGGCATTGATATTATGTACATTTGGTGCCAGGCAGGTCTTCCCTTGTTGGGAAGAAGATGGGCACAATTGCCCAATATATTTTGACCATGCAGCTGATAAATGAGTCCCCGCTGTCACTCTTGCCATCACAGGGGCATTGGCATTTGGAGCAGGGCTCTTCCTGGAAGGAGTGGGGAGGCCAACACTCACTTATCTTTCATCTTGTTGACATAAGATTCCAAAGCTTGCAAATCTTCTGAAAGCATTCGAGGCACCTCAAACTTGTGAGTGTCCGACTTCTCATAACTGTACAAAAGAACAGTATGTCAGGAGGAGGAGGCTAAGGGAAAAGTGTGTATTTTATTCAGCTTTTCAGCACCTAGGAGCAGCAATAGCTCATATGACGTGTAGCAAACTTCAACAGACATGCAAATAATTGAGTGGCAAACACTTAATTACAGTAAAAATATGATTTAGAAACAGCCTGCAAGAAGGGTATTTGTCCTCAAGTCAGTACTCAACCAGAAAATCTTCCGAGCAAAAAGGTTACAAATATCGTTACAAAGACAAATGCAGTTGATGGAAAGAGACTTAAGTGGACTTAGATGTGACGTTAAATGGGTCTATGTATTTAACATGCAGGTTATAAAAACACATTGAACTTAAGCTAAGGAATGGATCAGGAGGGGACTGCAGCAGTAGCAGAGTGCTAATTTAATGCTTCCTCTTCCTGCAGAGGATCTAAGACGCCTACCTGCCTCCTATGAAGCCAGTACGGGCTTTTGGGGAAATCCCCCACTGGCACTGATCTACTAATGGAATGCTTTTTTCCTCCTTCCCTGATCCACCTCCACAATATATCATTTCCTCTGTTTAAATTCTGCAGTACACCAACACTTCTGTGACTCCTAGTCTACGTGCAAGGCTGGGATAACAGAATAATTTACACATGAACTGCACGGGAGTATGGTCTCAGCTTTCACTATAACAAAGACCACCTTTCCAAAAATCATTTTGATAAGACTTTGGACAGTGAGAGATGCTGTTTTGAAAAAGAGGGTTGCCCCTACATAGGAAGTCTGAAGTGGTGAAAGAGCAATCTTTTGCACGAATCCTTAGAGCTGGGTCTGGGGTCCAGCTCACACTTACTAGGAGAGTGCAAGACTGCGACTGCCTGTGGCTTCCAAGTGCTTGGCGTAGTTGTAGCAGGTGGTGCGTAGGTGGACTCGATCATGAGCCTCAGCTACTTCGATGGCTTTCTGCCACTGGTCTGAGGCCTGGTAGAACTTGTTCAAGAGATCATAGCGTTTGCACTGCTTGTACAGCCGCTCAGCATCTTCCTGGAAAGGGGATCAGACAGGTGCATGTGAAAACTGCTTTGAATGCATGCCATTTTGGATAGATTTTTATAGAAGGATGCTTTGACTGTACAGAAAGCAAAGCAAAAGCACATGAGAGAAATATGCAACAATAAGAGATCAACAAGATCCGAATAAACATGAGTGCTTATTGAATACATGATTCAGAGCAACTTCTTTGGGAAGAACACATGCCAAGAAGGGAAGAAGGGCTGCTCAGTGTACCCGGCTGAGAAGGCCGCTCTATCTTGGTCCTCCTCCTCCCATCTGTCATTCAGTAACAGCCATTCCACCAGGCTGCAGCTGAGGGACAGAAGGGAAGCAGAGACTGACTGCTGAGAGGCCAAAAACTTTTGGTGTCTCTTCTCTGCATTGTTTCCCTTCCAGCTGATCATTAAAAGAAATGTATAAGTAAGAACCAGTGTCCAAGTCCGTTGTTTTCAATACTGCAGAAACAGCAATCTAGAAGATTGGTCTGGTTATGTGGCTTCAACGGTAAGAATGTGGATTTTTGAGAAGGGCAATTGTACAGTCTCATACTGCCCAATATTGCTCTGTAGGAAGGGTTAATTAAAACAGGAATTTGAAGAACCAACTAAGTCTTTGCTATGCAGCCCAGAATAGAAGCATTATGACTGAGACAGGATGTTTAAATAGAAACAAGGAAAGCACTAAGCAATCCGACCTCCAGGTCACTTTGTAAAGGAGGCGGTGTCCACATGGGAGGCCTGTTGCTCTAGGAAACTGCTCCAGTTCAACAGGCTGAAAAAGCCACTGATATCTTTGAACCAATTTCCTAGCAGAAAGGAATCGGAGCTGGGAAGTGCTGCCGCCCTAGAGCAGGCCTTGGACTTTTAACACAGCACAAGAGCTCCACAGATCTGGATGCTGGCTGACAAGCGTGGGTGGGGGAATTCAAACTATAGGACTAGCAGAAACATTGATAGAACACACCAAGTGCACCGGGGGGGGGGGGGGGGGGGGGGGGGGCTATGGGTGGAGTTCACTTTGACCTGTCAAATGCAGCTTCTTTTCCAAAAGCAAATCAACATCTTTCTGCAATGCCTCTGCGGTGCACTTTTGGTCACCGACTAATCAGAGATGGGCAAATTCTTCTAAGCTTTGGCCAAGTTCTTCTCTGCTCAGCAATTCTTGGTCCAACAAGATCAAATATTGTCAGGATGGCACATCCCTCCACCCCTCCCAACTTCTGAGGTGGGTCTTCGCACAGAAAGAACTAAGGGGGGGAGGGCATTCTCCTGGGCTTTGGCACTAAGCTAAGATGTGCTGAAGTGCAAACCTTATCTGAAGTCACGCCCCAGACTCTAATTTCAGTGATGCAGGGCTAAGTTTGGTGAGCCGAGGGTACACCCCCCCAACACCACTTTTTTCATCAATAGTTCATATATGACAAATGAAGCCCTAGAATCAAAGCGGAAGTAAATGGTGAAGCCCAGCTAAGCCGTGGCACAAATGAAGCTCCCAAAAGAAATGATGGCTTCATGCAAAGCAGTTAATCAATGTAATTCATTGCCACAGACTGCGCCAATGGCCCCTGGCTCAGCTTACTTTAAAGAGGGTTAGACAAACTCATAGAGGAGAACAGGTCTACTAATGGCTATTGGACATGAGAGCAGAGCAAAATCTTCTTGCTCAGTGTACATCTGAGTGCCAGTTTCTGAAGAAGGGGAAAAGCCATCATATTCTAGCTGTGGGTGCCCTGGAAGAATCTCTTAGACGCTGACCACTGTGTGTGCTTGGCTACGCGTAGACGGACCCTTGGTCTAATTCTTACTTTTTCTATCATATGCTTCAGCAAAAGAGCTTCCACAGATGCCATGCAAATAGTCCCATGTCCCTGCCTCTCCCTTTTCATTCCCCACTTTCCAGCTGAGAGTATAAGAGTGCCCACAACCAGATGAACCACCTTTATGCCGTCGTCTTATTTGTAGATCCTCTAACGGAGTCTTCTGTTTGGGAGGGTCCCTCCAACAAAGCAAAGCAGCTTTGTTCTAGACTTCTTGGATCACTTAACATGAAGCGGAAGAGGGCTGCTCTGGTAAAAGGCGTCCTACCTACCAGCATGCCCAGCTGAACGGCCAGCATGGCAACCTGCGCCTCCTGCTCCGGCTCTAGTTCCGCCTCCCTTAGTGCCTTGGCTCCTCGAGCATGACCCATGTTCCCCAAGCAAACTTTGGCGACATCCAGCCGTTGAGTCTTCACACACATACGAGCCATGTTCTCCCAGACAGCTTCACTGCAGGAGACAAGAAGAGCATGGCCACGACACAGGAAGCGTTATCTTTTGTACAGGATGACCCGAACCTAAGAATGCTACGCAGTGCATTAGCGATGGGACTGTGTGGCCTCCTTCAGGGTTAACATTATTCTGGGATTTTTCTAAGACACGGTGAAACACCATTGATTATAGCAAAAGGCCACTTAACACAGGAGTGTTACACCCCTTTCAGTATGAGGGCCAGATCCAGTATCAGACAAGTTCCTGTAGTGAGCACGAGACAAACAGGGCAAGGTCAAAATACAAAAAATACCAGGGCATTTTAGATTAAAGCTCGAATTGCCAGTACACAAGCCTTGGCAGAGGCATTTCAAACTTTTAAAATGGGATGGAGATGTCTGTACTACAACTGGGAAACAATCAAAACCTGAGTTGCAAGGGAGGGGAGGACAGGTCAGGACAGGAGGATGCCATCAAAGGACACCTGGAAGAATGGGCTGGGACCCCAGGAAGGTCAGATCTGGCCCCTCAGACTTAGGTTCCTATATGAACACAATCTGTTCCCACCTGTCAAGGTGGGATGTTGTTTGTCACTGTAACCAAATCTGGTGGTGGGATCCGGCCTTTTGGCTACAGCTGCTTAGCTTGTTGGAAGACGTCAATTTCATTCCTGTAAGTAAGGCTCTAGGTGGATTTGTACACTGCTTTTCCCAACGTTTTTGTATTCACTTTGCAAAAGAAATATATGAGAAATTCAGCTGCCGTGGGAAGGATTATGGCTCAATGAAAGAGCACCTGCTTTGTATGCAGGTCCCCCTCCCCCCCCGCCTTCAATCCCTAGCACCTCTAGTTCACCCAGCAGCAGGCTACCATCCAGATGCGCAAAATGTGCATGCAGTTAACAGCACGTTCCCATGCATATTTATTCAGAAGGCAATCCACCAAGTTCAGAAGGATTCATGCTCTAGCAAATGTGCTTAGGTTTGCAATCTAAGGGAATGGGGAAAAAAATCAATGGAGTGGAGATGTGGAACACACTGTGCCGGATCCAGACTTTGTCATGCTGACCGACTGAAAGCCCTGAGAAAAGTTTATAATGACTAACATAAGTTTCACTGATTTTGAGGAATTATTCTAAGCACAGGTAAATCAGGATTGCAATCCACCATCTTGTCCTGACTTTGAATGAAATCTCATGGAATGCCTCTACCAAAGATTGCTGCTTTTGTCATCTTAGTCATCAAAGGCTGCTGCTTTTCCCACTAAATATTAAGCTGTCTCCCAGGGGTAAAAAAAATGTCAAGCAACAACCAACCCATCCCCCACACCAGACTCCAAGAATTTCCTGAGTTTATCTTTGGACCACTATTTCACATCTGTAGTTCATCAGCCAGAGCTCACAGTCCTAATGAAGACCAGATGCAGCAGGGGAGAGGTGATGGATCACAATCTTTCTTCCCTCATTTAAAGGGGCACACACCTAGCCATTTATATGATTTACCTTATGATCTCCCGGTCTCAGTTTCCATCTATAAAATGGGAGTTCTTGTTGCCTGCTTCAAAGAGTTGCTGTGTGAACGAATATTTAGCACATCTAAAGGTATCACAAAATGATGGGTGCCTTTTCATCAGTTTCATCTGATTTCGTGTCATTAGCGTTTTCCATTATGTATATCTTGCCCACAAAATATCTTGCTGATCCAGATCACCCAAATCCACCATTATTTTTCATCAACTATGTATCTTAGAAACAAGCAACTGGCAACAACTCAGCTAAACATCCCTGTGCTGATAAGCAAGCAACTATTGCCTTTTAACAGCAAGTTGGATCAGTGCTTTGACTGCTAATAAATACAGATTCCCTCTGTGATGGAAAACACTCATTGGACTGACTTTGTCTGGGGGATAGCTGCATATACAAAAATACCCCAGGCAAACCAGAGCATCTGGAAGGCCTGATGACTAATTTCAGTGTTCTCATTTTAAAAAGGGAATATCTAAATGTACCAACACCAAAGTCAAACAGTACAAACAACTTGGTACCCCACCCCACCTGTTTCCCTCCACAGGAGGAGACAGGAACTAGAGAAGGAAGAGTCCCATCCTGTCGGGTCCCTAGCAGGATGAGAGCCATGCTGGATAATGGCACGACTGAAACAGACTTGAAGGTTTCCTGAGTAAAAACAGAAAGTCATGCTGAAGGCCAGGTCATGGACAAAGAATGGTTCCCAATGGGCTGACAGATGAATACCCTCTCCCTCCTACCTCCATGGGCAGAAGAAGAAAAAGGGTGGTGCTCAAGTCCCCAGCAGGCCTTGCTTCTGGGTCTCTTTGGTTTGCTTGGCCTCCATGAAGGCCAGCTGGAAATTAGAGGAGGAAGCTGTCGCAGAACAACCATGGGTGCCTATGTCACCCATGTAGTTCCACAACACTTTGGCATCTATTAACTTCATGGAGGGAAGTCACTATACAACACCTCCCTTAATATAGGTTTACACACTTAGATAATACGTAACAAAAGATCAGTAGATAGCATGTCGACTTGCTGTATACCACTTCAGTTCAGTGCTACAGGATCAAAACTGTGCAGACAAAGGCAGGCTATGGCATTTTCACATTGCAACGTTATTTTATACCAGTTTAGCTATCAAGAGTCCTGTGAACTGTAGCTTGGTGAAGATACTCAGGATTCTCTGTTGGAAATTTGTAATTGCCCTCAATTTCCTGACAAGAAGAATGACAGCCAAACCAATTTAATGCTTTACCTCTTTCCAAGCTTATTCCACTGCATATGTGCCTTTTCTATATGGTTTTTATAACGGGAAAGGATGGAGAGAAACAGGTGTTGTTTTTTTAAGAGAAACTGAGAACATTTACAGCTTAAGAAAAATGATTGTGACTTTGGTTGAACAGGTAGCCAAAACAAAAATATTTAAGACTTGAAAGACAATGAATTGTTAAACTTCATAAATGCAGAATTCATCTTGATTTCCAGATGCAGTCACCTGGTACAGCTTTATTTTAAATTGTATGGATGTATGTATTAAAAGCTTTTTATCCTGTCCTCTCACAGAAGTCTCAGGACAATACTGTGAGTGTTATATAATGAGTGTAAGATATTAGTGTTACCAATATATTTGGTGGTGTGTATAGGGCAGCTGTGACAAAGGATGAGGGAAACCAGTTGTATCTTGATTTATTTATTGATTGAATTGTTTAGGCTTTACTGGCTATTTTTGGATGCTTCGATTGCTGTATTGCTTTTTTGAATATTTCTGCCTTTATCCTTTTTAATGCTGCTTTCTGGTTGAGGCGGGGGTGGGGGACCATTTTATTGCTGTTTTATCAAAGACTGTGGATAGTTTTACAATTTGGAGCATCAGCTGCATTTAAAACATGGACACCAAAAAGTGTGGTATAATTAAAAGTGAAATAAAGTGAACTAATATTTGCAAGTGAAGATAGGAGCCACTGTATTAAAAGACTGTGCAGAATGGGAAGAGCTGCTTGACTATTTTTGGGCTCATCAATATGGTTGATTTTTGCACTGCAAGCAGGATCATTTCCTCTCGGAGTGTGTCCATGAACATGGCGGGACACAACATTTGTTTCTGGAAGAATGACTCTACAAGAGCAACCTCTCATCTACAAAACTAGTGCAAGTGCTTCTGATCATTTTTGCCATCAATATTCATTTTTTTAAAAGCCTCTTTGTTTGTGCTGGATGAAATGTCAGAATTAGATTCCTTTTTCCTTGGGAAGAGGCTAATGCATTTCCAGTCCCTGAAAAACAGTACTTTTCCCGAATGGAGGTTGGCTCAAGTCTCAACAGTTGAAGCGGACACTCATCCTCATCCAAGATACCCCAGGAGGCCCTTTGGTGCAATACCCAAATAACTAATCCTGCTAATACAGCATCACTGAACTGATTACATTTTTCTGGGAAGCAGGGGAGGGAGCAAGGAGGATACTGGAATGAGGTGGGAGGACTGGGGGTTGGCGGGGGAAAGAAAAAGAGACTGCAACTTTAGAAGTCTCTCTTAGTCCTTTCCTTTCAGGAAACACATCCTGTTCACATCAGACTGCTGTGGCAGTGGCTGTTTGTTGCAGTCGGCTACGCCCTGAGGCTCACCAAAACCAGCCACAAAAACAACCATTTCCTCTCCATTGAGAGATAGGAGGGAAAAACTTCCTTGCAGCAGAGATTCCGCTTTCCTGCTTCTGCCGCGCACGGCTCTGGCATTTGTAGAAGAACAGGAGCAGCAGAGCAGATTTCTTTGGAATACATCAGCCTTCCCAGGCTCCTCGGGGATACGTGTGCATTTTTGCTCAGAATTCGCTTTGGCATTGAGAATGAAATTCTACTGTGTCTGTGGGATTTTCTGAGTTTGGGCAGTCGCAAAACGAGTGCAGAGCTTTCGCTGCCTAACCCATATGTGGGTCTCAGTCGCCTCTCACGGCTGTGCTCCGGAAGGTTGAGGTGCCTTGCCACATTCGCAGGGATCTTAGTCTTAGCTGTCCAAGGACGCAACGTTTCCTAAATCAACAATTTTGCAAACTTGGTCTAAGAAAGAATGCACCTCCTTGTCTTTCATCTCTTCACCAGCTCGGCTCTGTTGAAAATGCAGGAAGGTGGGTAAGGCTCCACCTGGGAAGACCACATTCTGGAAGTTCCAGCTTTGCACTTTCTGTGCAATCCCTGTTTTGTGTGGATTTCTCCTCTGGGTCTTGCAGTTTTTTGTGTGTGATCAGAAACAGCCCAGGAGTTGACTTTGAGAATGAATGGTGATGTTCTCTAGCCATTCATAACATCATCCTGCACCAGCCTTCCATCTGCAGTCCTAATTCAATGTACTGCAGCTGACTGGGACTCTTGGATCTTCAACAAAGAGTGGCTGCCAGCAGTGGGTGACAGTCAGATATGACTGTCCAGAAACTGGTAGCTACAGCTGTGTTGGTAGCTCTGGTCTCCCTTATCCTCAACAACGCTGCTGCCTTCACCCCCAACTGGGTGTACCAGACCCTGGAGGATGGACGTAAGCGCAGTGTGGGGCTGTGGAAGATGTGCTGGCTGGCAGAGAAGGGAAGAGGAGGTGCTGGCACAGGTGCCAGGCATGGGCAAGGGGCGGAGCGTGAATGTGAATCCTTGGGCTGGGGTTCAGAGCCAGCTGGATTCCAGGAATCGCGTAGCACTGTCAAACGTAAGTCTTGCTGCTCTTCGTTAACGCTCTATATTAGTTCCATAGAGAGCACCGCTAAGATGTTGGCACTGGACGCAGGGCAAAACCCGATTCTGGCATACCGGACACAGCATGGTTCAACCCGAAAAGAGCTAAGCACAGGGGTGCTGTGGGTTTTCCACATCTATTGAGGTTGCAACACAACTGAACAAGGAATAGAGAAAGGATTGAAAGGAGGTCTGAATTGGAGAAGTGACACACCTGGGTTGCCATGGGAGGGGAGTGGCCCAAATTGAGAGTTTAGAGAGTCAGCATGAAAATCAAACTCAAGTCTGATGGATCTGGTGCACAAGACAACATATGCATCCTGGTGAGCAGGTATATTTCTAATGTGACCTAGCTATCGTTCATGTTGTTACTGCTGTTTCTTCTATACTGACTGACTTACAATCAAAAAGTGGAAAAGATTATAGCACACAAGCAAATTAAAAATCCCCTCACTACCCATCAGTCTTGCCAAAGCTGAGCATAACGTAAACAACTTTATGGTATATTTCCCTTGTGGGATAAAGTGCAGCTGAAAAGGGCAAGTTTAGTGGAAAAGCTGTCAAAGGGGAAAGATTTAAGAAACTCCTCCACCCCACCCCATCTGCAGATCTGCTGCAAACTCATCAGTTGCACCTTAGTTTTTTTTTAAAAGGTGAGAAATGACTCCATGCAGTTTGGTGCTGTGTTCAGCCTTTACTGTTTTGTACTTCACTGTACCATTTCCTGAGCACCAGGTAGCAATACTTAGCAAAGTATGGCAATAAAATTGTTTTCAGGGAGGAAGTGAGATGGTGTAGCCGCAGAACAGGCCAATTCTAATAGGAACTTAGAGAGCTGCCTTATACTCAGTCAGCATGTAGGTCCACATGGTCCAATGTGGCATACTCTTAACCCACAACAGCTTTCCAGGGCTTCAGGCTGTCACCTGCTCCCTGAGAATCTTTTAACTGGCACCTGCTGACTACTGCCCTTCAGAGAGCCTTTTTCAAATCTAGAAAATGCATCCGTACAGGTTATAACCCAGAATGGCATGGAAGAAGGAGCTTTCTAGATCAGCTGTCACCTCTTACATCACAACCAATTGCCCCAATTCTATTCAGCAGTTGAGTTCTGATTGAATCCTTGCCTCTTATTGGTGCTAATATGAAAGAGAATTTGTTCCAGAATCAATGTAAAAATGAAAGCAAAAGCAGGAAGAGAACAAGTTGTTTGATGGTGCACCGGTTAGAAAGTGGTGGGGCTGAAAAGTTTTTCCTTCATTGTGCCTGGACATTCTGAACAGCCGAAAGTATGTCCACAAAACTGTGCAATACTCTGTGTGTGTATGCACGCACGCACATGCACACACACACAAAATCTGTCTTTCTGGATGCTTCCAGATGAAGCTTTTATTGTCTACTCACTTTGCCTCATTCATAGAATTTTACAGAGGACCCAACATACCTTCAGTCGTAAATCTCCTGTGTCTCCCCACCACTTCTCCTTCTCCCTCTCCCTCTCCCCCTCTCTCTCTTCCTAAGAAAAGTTCATTAAGGAAAGAAAGGACCATCCTTCTGCTCAGATCTCTCCATTAAAAGAGTCCAATTTGTGTCCTAGGACACCTTACTGGCATGATCTGAATGTTAAACAAATTGGTAAGCATTTGCTTCTCATGCATGGGGTATTCTTTTCCTACCTGTCATGGAAAGAGGCAATAAGGAAATAAAGCTGCCTCACTCTCCCCATCAGGAAGTCTGAGCAGACATTTCCCATGAATATCTAGCCATAAATGAAGACTGAGGTTCTGAAGATGCAGGACAACTAATTGCTCATGGGATTGCTGAAAACGTTCAGCCCTGTCCTCTGACTTGCATTCCACTTCTGTTTTGTCCATGCTAACTTTACATGGTTTAGGAGAAACAGGCCATTTTGGGAAATGGGATGCTCTGTTAGATATGCTTTCAACCTCGTCTCACACAGTAGCTCTTAATGTCTCCAGTGTTCAACCTGTTTCAGCCTAAGGACTCAATTCCATTTCAGAGAAGCACTTGTGCTCAACGTTTCAGTGGTAGGTGGGCCTGAAAGGCAAAAGGGGCAGGGCTAAAATACTAGTTCTTATTGCCAGTAACTGAGCCTTAGGAGAATTTGCTCAACCTTTTAACATGAAGAATGCTCCCTCCTTCAAGGTTGGTGTACTATCTCCAACTTCCGATCTGGGAATCTGAGGAATTCTGTGGCCCTACAGATATTCTCTAGGGGCTACGGGTTGTTCCCTTAAACCTAGGAAACCACCAAACAACAGTAGGTGGAGGCAAAGGAGAGGGCCAATAGGGAGCATGGTTGTCTAGGAAACCCCAAAGCACCAGGGTAGGCTATGAGGTTGGCACAAGTTGCATCAACAAAGAATCAGGAAGCCTGTCCTACTATTCAGTGGCATATTGTCTTTGGAAATAGAAGCTCCTTTTAGCTAGCATGGCTAATAGCTTTCAACAGACCTCTCCGCTGTGAATGTTCCTGATTCCCTTTAAAATCCATCTAAGCTCATGGCTGCGACCACGTTTTGCAAAACAGAATACCATACAGTAAGTAGTGTTCAGAAGGAGTTTTTGTTCTTGAACTTAAAGTCAATTTTATTATGAAATCTTGAGCTTTAGCACTATGGAAGAAGGTGCTTAGCTCCTCCCTCCCTCCCTCTCCCCACAACTCATGGAGAAGAGGTCATCACAACGAGTAATCTTTCTAAGTTAAATGGCCCCCTATACTTCAGCCTTTCTTCTTTGTCACCATCTCTTTAATGTGAGAAAATTTCATTTATTGCATCATTGATTGGCCTTGAGCAGCCACTGTACACAGCTAAGCCAGCTTTGCTGCTCGGAGATGGCAGGAAGTGGAAGGACGGATCCTGATGTACATTTCCCTGTTTGGAAACCAGAACATTGCACAGGAGGATCTGGCACTGACATCACCCCAGGACACATACAGACCTTGCATATTGCAAAGCAGATGCTGCATGACAAACCCTCTTGTAGGAGTGTGGATAGTACAGTGCTCATAAGCTTTGGCACAAAGCCAATGTTCACACTTGCACACAATACAGGAGCAGGCATGACCTTATGCACCATGTTTCACACGATGTACAGAAATGGGGCAACCGACTTTGTCTGATCGGTGCTTATTTCATGCAAGCAAAATAAACATTCTGCAACAAGGTAGCTGGATTCTACAAACCCAAATAAAATCCAAGTCAAATTGATCTATGCTGAACATTGCTTTGCATGCCATTGCAACTATTTTTTTTTCTAGCAAGACAGTTGCAATGGTGATATGAAGAATAACATGGACCAATCTGGCATGGCAGTAGAGTTTTTTGTTTGCTTGCTTTTTTGTGGACCTGAAACTGCTTGAAGGTAGACCATTTCATAAACGTTTTGCTGCTGTTTTGCAAACAAATGCACATATGTAATTCAACTGCAGGGCCAAGCATGGATATTCTCAACTGCTTCACAATGTTTTGGCTGGCCACCTGAATGGAACACGCAGACCACTGCAGGTCCATGGACCAGAGACTGAAAAGCCTTGTGAGAATGCAGATTGAACTAATGTGTACACACTTGCTTATTTTCCCTAATTTATTCTTGTCTCAGAGAAAGAAAAAGAGCTTCCCTTTTAGTTCAAGGCAATCTACCTCCCTCCTCCCACACCCTGCCCAACTTCCTTCTTGGCTGTATTATCTTGTTAGGCACTGCACACAGATTTCTAAGTTCACCTCAGGCGGCTAATGTAGAATTCCTTGCAAGCCCCCAAATTTATAAAGGCTACAAACTAAAATGGGGCATATCGTGTATGAATGCACCTTGACATTAACCGCCCCCTAAAAGATCCTAATTTATGCCCAAACCCAAACTTTGAAATGCTAGAGGTAGAGGTTTAAAGAGGAAAAAACACAGAAAAACCATGAAAAAAATGGCAGGGCAGTTCTCACCTGTGTTAACCTCTGCCTCAGTTGCACTACTGAATCCAGCGGGGTGGGGGCCTCACATGAGAGCAAATATTCTGGTTTCACCTTCCTCCTTTGCACCAAACCTCCAGTGAAACAAACTACAGATTTTATAAAAGCATACAGAGAGATGGAAAGATGCACAGCTCGTTTCCTTCTTTAAGTTGATTTTAAGTTTAAATTAAAAAAATACTTGGAATTGAATTACAGTTATGGTGACTTGCTTCAGGAAACTAAAAGTACAGCAGTGCTGGGAAGACAGGTCTTTGTCGTATTGCACAACTAGAGCGAAATCATACTTGATGGGTTGAGAATGCCTGCATGCTTGCTTCAATGAAAAATTTCACAGCATAAAAGCATCTAAAATGCTTTAGTTTTCAGTTAATGAAAATTAACTGAAATAGACTTTTCAAAGCTGTGAAATGTGGAAAATGCTGGGTTTGGAAATGCCTAGCCCCATTACTTCTTTTTGTTGCAATCCGGGTGCCTTTTGTGGGGTGCCACTGAAATATGCCATTTGGGATACGAATCTGCTTCCTCCAGATGTCCACTATCAACAAAGTAATAGGATTTTGTGAACCAAAAATGGAGGGGGCAGGTCTAAGTCTCTACAACTGCAGGAATAAACATACTGAACATGGGATAGAAATATTTTTCAAAGGTTCAAAAAGGGTTAGGGTTCAAAGCAGCTGACCCCAGCGTTCCTTCCATCATAATCATAGGGGCAGAAGAAAGGATTTTTATACACATTCCTGCATGCCATGGTCTCAGTCTTGAACAGGGGGCTGCTACTTCCAGAATAAACAAACAAACAAACAAACAAATAAGCAAATCACACTACTTGCAATGAGGCATTTAGTATTACATACCACGTAGTTTCTATGTTATACTTGAACACTATAATAGGAGCTATTATCATCCATTTCTTAAGAATGTAAGAAAAGCCATTGTGGATCAGAGCAATGGTCCATCCAGTCTAGCACTCTGTTCACATGGC